TAGACCAGTCGAAGGCAAAACTGAAGCATTTGAGGACGTACAGCTACCCTAGAAGGATTAGAAACTAGTTTGTAAACATGTTTTGAGATTTTAAATGACAGATCCCATGTTGTATTTAAGACTTGATTTTGTAATTATTATATATCTATACATATTTTTTATATTACCTATTCCTTATTTTCCCTCAACGCATATAGACCTTGTGTTAATATCCTGATAAGATCTGTCAAAAAGGTAGCTTTGCTATCTAAAGAGATTGGATTTTGAAGGGAGGCTAGTTTGACTCCTTCAATCTTTCCTAAGATCTTACTTGGTTATCGATCAAATGACTCATTAGTGACGTTTCCTATTTTGTAATCTTAGATAAATCATGTATTTGTTTTTTATTATATTCTCTGATATTCTCGATTTTTGGAGTGTCACAACTTGGTATCAGAGCCTAGGTTTAACCCTTACCCACGCGTTTCGACCTGCGGTTAAAGGCTATCTTGCCCCAAACTATGTTATGTTATTATAACACTACCTATCAATTAAAAGACATCGAAAATAGAAATTTTCTTGACTTACCCTAGGGCGTTTCTTCGAATTCCGGGCATAGCAACATCAACTCATGAGGATGTATTTCAAGATCAAGAAATGGTTTTAACTTTGAACAAGGCCTCACATTGCGCAGTAAGGGTACTATTAGTTCTACACATCTTGTATAAATCATCATATCCTTATCTTGTATTTGTAACCTGTATTCGATGTCATCATTTTCCAAGATTAAGTCATGACCTCCTTTGAGCACAGATTATTTTGTTTAGCACAAGGCTTCTTGTAAATAATTTCATTTTCTTTACTTGGTGACGAATCTTGGATATTCAGTTTGAAATTCAGATGACCAATGCAATTTCAAGTTAAATATTTAGCTTAGTCACTACCTCTATAACCTTGACCATACTAACGTCTGAAACCGTAATGCCATTCTTTCCATTATATCATTTATCCATATTTCGGATGATCCTTGTATTAATTGATGTTATTACCCCTTCATACTCTTCGATCTCCAGTTCGTAATCATTACATTAACCAAACTCTAGTAGTTATTATTTTGCCTATTGTAAATATAGGAAGTGACAATTTGATCTATATCTGGAGGATGTTACTTGCTTTAATATTTCACCACACCATGAGAAAACTAAACTTTAATTTCAAGTTTAGTAGAAAGATTACCTCTACCTAGAAATCTAGAAACCTACTTATCCTATACCATGAACAGAATGGTGGATATGCGAGCTAATGACTATTCAGAGACTAGCAACAATGCCCGAAACTGTCACAGAAATTAGCATGGGCCCGAACCCACGGGAACCAATATCCCTAATAATCTCGGGCATCAAATTCTAGAAGAACTAGGACAACTAAGGAACAATTGGCAAAACACGAGGACTGGACTCTTTTCGGAATTCAGAAAAGAAAAGCCCCCAAAGTTCACAGGAGTACCAGACCCGAGAGTGGCTGAAAGCTTCGGCAAATGGAGAAAATGGTGGACATTATGGGGATAATTGAAGATGCCGACATAATAGCCTTAGCAATATTCGAGCTAGATGATGAGGCCGATCATGGGTGGGAACTAATCAAGAATACCTGTGACATTACAAACATGTCATGGAACCAGTTTAAGGAATTGTTTCTGAATAAATAATTTCCAAGTACAGTTCGTCGAGGACGAGTCAGGAAATTCCAAAACCCGGAGCAAGGGAATATGACCGTAACCCAATATGTTGTAAAATTTGAAAAACTAGCTCGCTACGCAACTAGGTATGTAGCAAATGATGAACAGAAAGCAAAAATGTTTGAATGGGGGCTAGATCTTACAATCAGGGAGAGAGTTCTACCGTAACAACTCCACTCCTATGCTGAGGTATTAGAGACGGCATTAGAATCTGAAAGGGAAGTAGCCGATGTGAGAAAAATTTAGAATAAACGGAATATGAATTAGACATCTATAGGACCTCAGAGGAGCCAGAAGGGAAATACGGCCCCAGAGCCCTACTCAAGGCCACAACCATAACAGCCACAACAACAAAATCTGAAGGAAAGTTTCCAGGAAGGACTAGCGCGGCCGATTCAATGTTATCATTGTCAACGGATAGGACATAGAAAGTTCGAATGTCCCCAGTTGGTTAGAAATCAAGGAGAGCGCACGGGGTGCAAATACACATGCTAGCAGCAACCATGGATAACTAAGCCAGGAACTGTTAAGTAACAAAATTATAAGACAGAGAACAATCGAAACTCTAGAAAGGTCACCAACCAATAGCCAATTGGCAGAGTATTCGCAATACAAGAAGAAGAAAATCCCATGGCAGTGCACCTAGAGTATGAACAATACACCGCGTATGAACTTGTGGAACCATTGTATGAGCCATGGCTAATGTAGGAAAATAAAACTAGGGTAGTAGTTAGAACTCCTTAGAAGGAATTTTGTAATCCAAGTATGTATGTGCAAATTCTCTTTTGTTGATCCAAGTCTTGGAGCCTTATATTTATAGTTTAAAATTCTTGAGCATATATTTTATTCATAGCATTTCTTTGCATCAATCCCAAACATCATCCTAGATATAGACTCGTCATTCGCACATCAAGCCTTGATAAATAGTTAACAAGAGAGACGACTTAAATTTCGAGGACGAAATTTGTTTAAGGGAGATATGTTGTGAGACCCCTAAATTTTTGTAAATCCTAGCAAGACCCTTACTTTTGAATTATTATAATAAAAACCCTTAGTTTCTTGTTAATTCGCAGAATTAACTCTAGAACCGAAAACGTATCACAGATGAACTCATACAAACCTTGATTGAACCAGAAACTTAGGAATCATTTCTAATACCTTAATACTGATTAATTGACTCCGTAAATATGGAATTACCACTTAAAAACCCTAGGCTTTTCCGATCTTTATCACATCCGTCGGTTGATTGCCTTTTTATTCGAAACAAGAAATCCAAACCGAATTGGACTCTCTAATCCTAATTTAATTTAATTCTACACTAAAATAAATGTTCTAACTCATAAATTAAACCCAAAGCCCTCACATTTTTATTAAATCACAAATTGACCCCAAACAAGTACCATTATATATTTATATATACACTTGTACCCTAAAATCTTTTTTTAAACATTATATTTTATTAATTCCAACAATTGTACACAAAAAATAAATAAATAAAAATAAAAATAAAAATAAAAATTCTATAAAAAAAGTCCCTCAAATCTACCTCACATGGCCAGCCGTCACCTTGAAAATATGATGAATGTACTTTTTTGAAACAAGTTTGCATAAATTATGGAAAATATCTTTAACTTGGTACAAACTTTTTTATATATTTGTATATATATAACTAGGTTGGTTTAATTAGGAGGAAAACCCTAACTAGATCATGTTTAGGAACCTAATTAAGGCCTCTAAACTTTCACTATTCCAATGGATTCAAACTAAATCCAAAACATCCCATTCAATTCCAACCAAAGGACATTTTGGACCTTTCACACTAATTTTTCTATAAAAGCAACCCCTCCCTTAGCATTTTACATACAAGAATACACACACACACACACACATTATATTCACAAACTTTTTTACATGCCTCCCTTACAATGCCAACAATGTGTTTGATGAAACAATAAGTCTAGACCACAACTAAATACATAATTGAACACAATAATACATTGAAAGACATCACCCTATTTGGTTGAGTTTTTTAAAAATAAAAATAAAAATACTTAATAGAAACTAGTTTGACAATAAACACCAAAAAATATTTTCAAAATTTTTAAAAATATTTTTCCAAAAAAGAGAAAGTCAAATGAAGAGTGTTTTTAATCTTTGTTATCAAACTAGTTTTTAGTTTATTTTATTTTATTTTTAAAAAAATAAAACAAAAAAAATTCAAAATTTAACCAAATAAAAATGAACTCTGCTAACAAATCTCGTAAAATCAAGTTGTTTCATTTGTTTTTATGCATTCTTCGACTTTTGCGTTCTTAGGGCGGAGGCACTAAGAGTCAGGGGGTGACGTGACCCTAACTTTTTTATTTTTTATTTTCAAGTGACACACCTCCAACCAATCAAACACCGTCACAGTCTCACTTTGCAATTTTAATTTTAAAAAATATATAATAATTTAAATTTGTGTGATTCGAATAATTTAAATATATTAAAACGATATTATTTCACATTTAAAACGACACCATCTTAAGGCTTTCAAATTAGGGTCATGCTACATCCCCCTAATTTTTGGCCCCCTAATCCCCCTAAATTTCAAAAAAAAATAAAAAATAAAAAATTGCCCAAAACGACGTCGTTTTGGGCATTAAAAAAATTATGGGAGACTTTTTTAGGGGGACAAATCATTTTCCTTCAAATTATTAGGACTAAAAAAATTTGAACCGCTTAACCTTATCTAATTTTTCTTGTTTTTTAGTTCTATCAACCCCCTAAACTGACACACAACCCATCCCCCCAAAGTCATACACAACCCAACCAAACAAAGATTTTTTATTTATATTTTTCTTTTGAGAGTTCTAGTTAAACTGAACACGGACACAAGGTCTCGACTTTTTTTTTTATTTTTTTTAATAAGTATTAATTTTTTTGTATTTAAATTAACTTAAAATATTATTATTATTGATTGAGAAAGAAAAATTTTAAAATTATAATTGATAAATATTTCATATATTAAATTATTGATTTCCGTCACTAATTCTTAGAATCGGTGGTAGATGAAATAAATGAAAGTAAAATTTTGGTGTTCGCCCCCAACCGCTGGGAAGTATACGCATTTGTTTTGTTCATGGGCTTCACGTCTGTCCACCTCCATCCATCTTGTTGAATTTAATTTAGTTCTTTGAGTTCACGTTCATGAATCATAATTTCATGTTAGTCTCATGCATATATATATATATAGATAAACAGATAGGTCAACCCAAAAACAATCACAACCCAAGCCGTGACGCACCTCGACTAATCTCGGGGCCCTGTACCGATCGACCGGGCAAAGATGCAATGGCCCACCAATAGCCAGCTGGGAGTAGGATTCGAACCTAAGACCTAGAGAAGAGCAAACTCCTAGATCTCTGGTCCCTTGCCCTCAACCAACTGGGCTACCCTTGCGGGTTCATAATCATCATCCATTCACCAGCTCCTTTTGTTGTCAACTCTCTTCTCTTAACCAACCCGCTTTTCTTTTTCTTTTTCTTTTTTTATTATTATTATTTTGTTTTTGGGTACAATGTAACCAACCCACCATTCACTATAACATATATATATAGGAATAAATAGTTTTATTATAAGCTATAGATACAGCATTGCTGCTCTGAGGTCCTAAACTTGCTGTTTTTCTTTTTAGTTTGAGGAGCGAACATGAAATTTGAAGACTTGTTGATGATTCAGCCGAGTGATCCTCCTCTTCATCAGGAGGAGAAGAAGCAGACAAGAAGAGAAGACCTCCAGGAAAAGGCATGCAACTATTACCCTTTAATTCAAATTTTAAAATGTTTTTCTCACCACTGTCCTTCAACTTGAATTTTAGAATATGTTTATAATGATTTATAGTAGCTAGTTTTGAATTGATATTTCAAAATAAAAAGTGAACAAATAATTTGAAACAGACCAAAATGAAAAGATGAACAAACAAAATAAGACAGATGGAGTAATATTCACATTGTTTGGTTTTAGAATTTTGAATCCACTTTTAGAAAATTGAGGTTTTTTATTTTCTATATTTTTTTTCACTTCATTTTTTTAATATTTAAAGAAAATTTTTCAGTTTTTAGATATACCTAACACATTTACACTAGTATAATATTTGTGGCAAAAATATTTAAAAAATTCACTAGATGTACCTAGCACAAATACAATAGTATAATATTTGTGGCAAAAATCTTTAAAAAATTCACTAAATATCAAAAATATAAAAATTTAGTACATTTTTATATTCTTGTGTATTTATTAATTTTTAAATTATTTTTTTATAAATGTTTTAATTTTTAGATATATTTAGATTAGGTCTATCTAAAATATATATATATATATATCTTAAAAAAAAAATTTAAAAAAAATTACTAATTTAATTTTCAAAAAATTTGAGTTCAAAAATTGAAACTAATATTTGACTCATCCTCATGCATGCACTGCTCTCTCTCTCTATTAAGGATGTATGTAGTTTCTCAAATCATTCTTATTTCCTTTGCTCTGCAGATCGAGAAATTGGAAGAAGAATTAGATGCACAACTCAAACTCAACAAAATTTTGCACTGTGCACTGCAAGGACCTGTCCACTTGTGTCCCTGTCTTTCCAAATCGCTTCCTTCTAAGGTACCAAAACATAACAATTACGCTTCTTTTTGTTTGGAGGAAAAAAAAATACTAATTTAATTTTCAAAAAATTTGAGTTCAAAAATTGAAACTAATATTTGACTCATCCTCATGCATGCACTGCTCTCTCTCTCTCTCTATTAAGGATGTATGTAGTTTCTCACATCATTCTTATTTCCTTTGCGCTGCAGATCGAGAAATTGGAAGAAGAATTAGATGCACAACTCAAACTCAACAAAATTTTGCACTGTGCACTGCAAGGACCTGTCCACTTGTGTCCCTGTCTTTCCAAATCGCTTCCTTCTAAGGTACCAAAACATAACACTTACGCTTCTTTCTGTTTGGAGGAAAAAAATTTTAAAAAAAAAATTTTTTTTTTTTTTTTTGAAAACCTTTTTCAGAGAAAATGTTTTTTTATGGTTGTGATTTTGAAAATAATGTGCGCTTGTATTAGTGGCAATGGTTGGATGGTAGCAATAGGGATAGTGGAGGTGGTGGTGGAATAGTAGTTATGGTGGTAGGCTAGTCGTTGTGGGGTAGTAGTGGTAGCGTTGTGACATTAGTAAAAGAAAAATGCTTGGGACCTCTAATTTAAAGGTATTACTAGTGATGTGGCAGCGGGTCCCACCCACTACCACTGTTATGTGTCTTAATTTTTTTTTTTTTTTCCCTTTTCCACCTCATTAGAGGTGTGTTTAGAGGTGTATTTTTAGAGGTCTCTAGCATTGTTGTTAGTAAAATTTGGAGTAACTCTCGAGGTTTGAAGAAAATAAAATTAATTTCACAGTTTTAATATAATTATATTTAACTCCTTTAATATTTTAATTCATAACCTCTTTTTTATCAATAATTTATTAGTTATATGGATAAAAAGATGATGTTATCATTTCTTTTACATGAAAATATATATTTTCCATTCTTTATTTTTATATTTTCGCATTATCTATATTAGTCTCTGTTCATTTAACCTTATAAAAAAGAAAGTTAGCATAATTATGTTAAAACTGTGAGCATACTATATTTTTTTCAAACCTCAGGGAGGACAATCCTAAAATTTTAGTCCAACCAATATTTTCTACATATTAAAATAAAAATCATTTTTTACCCAAATAAATTTATTTTTTTTGCTAATTTTCATTGTCCGTCGTACCAAACACTAAAAAATGTTTTCCAGTTAAACATGCGAACCATTATTGTATTTTTAAAACTATTGTTAGTGTTTGGTAATGTTCTAGTTTTTGCATTTTTTTTTTTTTGTTTATAAAAAATAAGAATCACGTTTGTGTTTATTTTTGCTAAAAATAAAAATCAAATACATGTTCGGTATTAGTAGATTTTTTTGAGACTACAAGCTAAATATAAAGATAAGATATTATTTTCCCTTTGAAAAATTAAGATCTTCAGCGAAAAGAAAATTTTTGAGATTTTCTTGATAATTCATAAATAACAAGTTAAGTGGCCTAATAGTTAAACCATCTCTTTTGGTATTTATCTACGTTTTCAAAACAAACAAAAATTTTAAAGGTATATATGTGCGTGTGGTAAGTTGCCAGAGGGGTTGATTGAAGAGTGAGGGTGGCGATATGGGAGCTTCTATTTGCACACACCCATTTCCCTTTTCACATATTTTTTTTAATAAATAATTGGTTCGAAAGTAGATTTCGAAAATAAATAATTGGTTCAAAAGTAGCATTTTAAAAATAAATAACTTTTTCGAAAGTGGAGTTCCGAATTTTTTTTATTTTTTCGACATTCAACTTCCGAATGTGTTTATTTAATGTCCATAATAGTAATTTTACCTGAAAATAAAATTATAATAAAAATAATTTTTATTAAGTGTGTGTAAAGAGGGGAATAGGGATGTGCAAATAGAAGCTCCCCGATTGTTTGGCCAACGGGTGCAGATAGCTGGACGTGGTGACCATTATAGGTCTCGTGGGGAGAGAGGAGAAGAGAATGAAAAGCTATTTTCAAAAAAACGAAAACACAGCTTGACTTTTTGTTCCTGAGATTATGTAAATTTTGCAATTTGTTTACATTTTTTTCAAACAAAAATGGAAAAATGATCAACAAATCCTATTTTGTTTTTAAGATTATTAATGAGTCCTATCAAATTTTTATATGGACAATTAAGTCTTATTTGTGATAAAAGGTTTCCAAAAGATTCATTACTCCGTAATGATGTGTTTTATCTCAATTTTACCCTTCATATTTAATATGAATAACAATTTTTTAAATAATTTTAACTTAATTAAAATTTAAAATTTTAATTGTAAAAATTATTAATCTTATAATTATAATTTTGTTAATGAAAAATCATTTAATTTGAACAATTAAAAATAATTTGATTATAAAATTTCTAATAAATTAAAATTATTTATGAACCTTTTTTTTAAAATGAAAATAAAATATACTATGCTATTATGAACAATTGAATTTCTTTTACGTATAACAATTTATTAACAAAAAATAAGGTTTATTTGTTAATATTGAAATTTGGTATAACTCAATAATAATTTCCAAAACAAAATAAAACATTTTGATAGTTTTTTCATTGTGATTTTTGATTTTTTTTTTAAATACAATATCGTAATTTTTTTCCATTACTTAGATTAAAAATATTTTCATATTAAATGAGGGGTAAATTTGAGATAACATTCATCATTTTTGAGTAATGAATTTTTTGAAAATATGTTATGAAAAATATATGACTTAATTGTCCATATAGAAACTTGATAGGATTTGATAGAATCTCAAGAACAAAATAAGACTTATTTGCTATTTTTCCAAGAAAAAACAGATGTGCTAAAGGTGTTTTCATTTACAATTTATATCAATCTTTTAAAAACATAAAACAAAAACAATTAAAATAAAATGGTAACCAAACATAAATAATGGAAAGTTGAATATGGTGAAAACATAATCCCAAAGTCAGACGAGTATTTGAATGTATTGGTGGGGCAGGTTCAAGTGTTGCTTGCAGAATTGGCTAGGATGGAGGAAGAGATCATTTGGTTAGAGAGAAAAGTGGACCACTTGAAATTAAGCTTGTACCATGAGAAGCACCACCACCACCATCACCACCACCACCAGCAAACCAAGGATTGGGGATTCCCCGACGCACATCCTCGACAGAAACAACTACAACAACAACAACAACAACTAGCAGCCACCACCTATGGACTAAGCAACCACCCAATGGAGGTGGTCAGTTGCAGATCACTGGTTTCCAGATCACAAGATTTCCAACAACATTATCATCATGACAAGGTGTTCAGAGTTTTAAGAGAAAGAAGTGCTTCTTTTGTTTCTCCAATGGATATTCTAAGCCTGCCTTCTTCAATCAACTCCTCCTATGGTAAAACTCTCTCTCTCTCTCTCTCTCTCTCCATGAAATGAAATGTAGTCTATCCAGCGGGCACCTAATCACCAAATCTAAATTCGCTCAATTTAGATTCCAACTTTAACGTTGTGTTTGGTTGAGAGATTTGGAAAGAAATTTGAAAAATGAAAGGAAAAAAGTGTGTGAAACTAAGTGAAATGTAAGTATATTTTATTCACATCTCACATGCCTTTCTTTTTTTTTCTTTTTTAAATCCCTTATCAAATCTCTCAATCAAAGGTGAAATTGAATGAATCTAAATTATTTATTTGAAGAATGAAAGCCCTGAATGAAAAAAAGAAAGCAGTGGTTCATTTTCTCATGAGAAAAATTAAAGGGAGGGAGGGGGAGGGGGTAATATATATTGGAGGGAGTGAATGGAAGTGTTCACCGGCTGACTTGGTTTGGTTTAAAAGTGGCCTTGGAACTTAACATATCCCTACGTTTCCTGAATATTTGAAATCAGAATCAAACCATAGAAATCGATTTATGTAAGATCGATTATGTAATATTACTGCTAATAAATTAAATTTGAAGTAAAATATTTCTGTAATATTAGTTATATAAATATTTTAGCATGATATTCACACAAATCTGAAACAACTCCGTTGGCCAAGTGGAAAGTTAAGACTTGATTCTCCTCTTTTAAAATTTTAATACCTTTAAGCTACCTACTAAAATTAATAAATAAAATAAATAAAAGGGTTCAATTCAATATGATTTTTTATGTCCTAATTTGAACCACAACCAACTATTATTGATTATTTAGAATCAAAATCGAACTATCTTCTAAAAAATTTATCAAAATCGTAGAACTAATGTTGTCAATTCAGTAGCATACCAGACAGTACAATTCGAACTGTCTCGTTACATACTGTACAATGTGTGCAAGATGTATTTCACTTTTCTAGGTTTATGCTCGTGACCTCTAAGTAGAGCATTGACAGAGATGATTGTGATATAAAGTGACTCTCACACAAACATCACATTACAAATTTGTTATTTCTTATTCAGATTGTTTTTAATATATATTTATTATTATATTTGTCATATACAAGTACTGTAACAAATATTTTTACATACCTGTACAACTTAAATATGTTTGTAAATTATTAACTTTTATAGTAGATAATTTTAGTCCGTTAAGAATGTTCAATATTTTTTTTTATAAATAATAGTACATTTTATCAAATGTATTTAATTTTTTTAAACAAAATCTTAAAATATAAAATAATATTAATCTATCCGGAACGGTAAGCCAAAATACAACGGTATCAGTACATACCATACCGTACGATAGTTACAAAATTGACAACTTTGTTCATGACCGATTTTCTAACTCAACAGATTTCAACAAATTTGGAACCTCCTCTCAACAAAATTCACATTCTTAATCACCAAATTCAAAATCTGCATCTAATCCTTTTGTTTTGGGCTATTATTAGTAACAGAGGAAATTGCTGAAACTTCAAGATGCTCAAGGAGAAGAATCAGAAACCATAACCATTTAGACACAAAAATTGGCATTGAGAAACCAAATGAACTCTCAGAACAACTGATAAACTGCTTGATAGGCATATTCCTCAAACTGAATCAGGCATCGCTCGGTAGAAAAGGATCGGCTATTGTTCCGAAGCATCATCCTCTGTCTTGCATAAACTCAAGAGGTTTCATTTCAAAGACCACATTCAACTACAAAGCACTTCCTGCATTCTCGTTTGATAACACATCCAACATTGACCCTTACGGCATATTTCTAGATTTCGATGGCCCTATCAGAGATGTTGGCCCATACAAGCATTTCATTCAAATAACACGAAGTTCACTGGATATTAGCCATATTTCTGAGTGTTTTCAAGCAATGGGTAAACTCAGGTAACTACAAGTTCCTAACCTATGCAGCCAGGGCCTTGTTTGGTGCAACTTTTTGTAAGTTGAAAGTTGATAATCAAAAAACAAAAGCTAAAAAAACATTCCTCCTCCATCTTTCTAGTACTTTTTTCAGATCATTTGAATTATTTTTGCCCCATTAACTATATAAGCAAAAGTTGCATCAAACATTCTAACATAGATTTCCAAACTTTAAAAAATGTCATAAACAACCTCAATAAGTTGCACCAAACGGGGCAATATTTTTATAGCTACATATAAAGGACCTACTTGTTCTTTTCTTGCAGAGTCTTGATGCATACACTCTGCAATGTGGACATAACTTTCTTAACCTACAAGCAAAAGTTAGCTTTCTGGATCAACATCTACAATGCCTGTATAATGCATGTACTGTAAGATACCTAAAGCCACATTGAATGCAAATCAAATACATATCCTATAGAGCAAATATAAGTGGTTAAATTTCTATTCCAGGCTTTTCTACAACATGGGTTGCCTTCCACAGAGGAGAAACTGCTGGCACTTATGAACAAGGTATGCCAATATTTATCACAACATAATGTTATACAAATAGAAAACTTGTATAGAAAATTAATATAAAATAATGTGGCAAATCTTGATAAAGTAGTTTAAATTTTCATAAATACCATTGCTACTTAATTCTGGTCAAAACTGTGTATAAAGATTATGTAAGAATAGAATTTCCCTTTAAACAACCAGTGCTAGACCCCGAACCCCAGATTCCTTGAACATTCAAAGAAACTCTTCTATAACAAGCTGAGATTCAAAGTAATCAAAAATGACTATTGAGTGCTTTGCCTAGTGGCCTAGTGGTTGTGTAGCACCACTTCGTGGTGTGAGGTTCTTTGTAGTGGTTTATTTCTCTCCCATTGGGGGGTTTGTATGTAGTTTAGTGGTTGCTGGGCTTTGGCTTAGTGCTTGGTTGTTAAGCTTGGTGAATGTTGACTTTCTAGCTATTATTAGGCTAGTAGTCTATTTGATATAATATTTCTCGTATCCTTAATTACTCTCATATCAATTGACCGCAAAGCAACAAAAAAAAAGTCATGTCTAAAACTCGGTTGAGCTTTTCTGACCCAGGCTGCAATTAATGTGGGCGGCATAGTCCTAAATGCTTTGGCTATTGAGCACTTCATTCTCAGACATGCATCTGACTCTAAACATGTGAGTACACATAATTCTTGCTCCTCAATCTGATCTCTATGCACTAAGGTCGAGCATTTTAATATGCAACAGAAAGAAAAAAAAAAACAAAACAAAACAAACAAACAAGCAAGCAAACAAAAACTTTTACATGATCTTGTCGGTTTTGAGCAGTTCTAAAGATCCAGAAATCTCAAGCTGTGCAGAAAACTTACGAATATAAACCATACAATTCAGAAAAACTGCAACCTTACTTCAACAGGATCATTGCTATTCAAATTTCTGTGCCCTGAGTGCATATACAATTCGGCAAAATTAAGGAAAAACAAAAACACTTTGAGATCCCTCTCAGTTTGAATCTTGCAGTTCTTCCTGACATATTTATATCTGATCTACAAGGGCCCAATAGATGAGAAGGAAATGATACTACAGCATGCCTACGGTCTGGGGTATCCAGAACCTAATGTGACATTTGCTCTTTGCCGAGGCAGCATGTCTTCACCAGCGGTGAGAGCATTACTCTTAATTCATTTCAATGAAAAGCTGTGTATGCCTAGTTCTGGTTGTGTCTTGTCCTCAATAAAGTGAATGAAAGAAACAGTTAAATGCAGTTAAGGGTGTACACGTCAGATGATATTGTGAATGAACTGGGAAGAGCAAAAGTGGAGTATTTGGAAGCATCTGTGGGAGTAACCAGCAAGAAAAAGATTGTGGTGCCTAAGCTTCTGCAATGGCACATGAGAGATTTTGCAGACGACATGCAGTCGCTACTGGAATGGATTTATAGTGAGTTGCCACATTCTGGCTCACTAAAAAGGTTGATAATGGAGTGCCTAATTGGTGAAACAAAGTCTCCTATAGCAAAGAAGGCAGAAATTCAGGTCAATGACTCTGAATTCCGTTACTTGCTTCCCTTGTAAGCTAAACAAGGAAAGAAAACACAGAGCAGCTGACAAAACAGTTAAAAAGATTTACAAATACAAGTGACAGAACTATAACAGCTCTAGAATTCAAGACATCAGCAAGGATAGATGAAAAGCGACACTTTGCTCTAGACCTGTTGATTTTTGGGGAAATAACTTGTGTTTGATGTGCTTATAATTCTTATCAATGTTCAATGTATTATGTGCCAAACCCCCACCCCCCCTTCCTTTTTCCCTTTTATTTTAGGTTTGATGTTACCAACGAATTTGAATCTTAGGGGATTGTAACAACCTATCTCATACCCAGTAAAAGTCACCCACCCACATTATGCATTTAAGCTCAAATAGCAGTGTTTCATCCACTGGGACACTTCAATGTTAACAAGTAATAGCAAGTGCAAAAGGTCAATACATCAGGTACTCAAGCAATATGATAGCAAACCAATTAATCCAAGAAGCACGGACACTTCTATGGAGGAAGCGTGTCGTGTCTGACACTCGGACACCCCCAAATACATGTCCGACATTTCTTTAACATGTCTTAATTAAATAATCAAATTCATAATATTGAACACTTCAACGATACTTCTTGAACTATATAAACAAGTCAATGTGATGAATACCTTCATAATAATAATGATTTGAAACATGGATAAGATGTATTGCAATGTTCTATAGTTGTTTTGCATTGAAATATATAGCTTTTTAATGTGATTAGTATTGGCGCTGTTAGGGAAGCTGGTTTTTTGGTTTTTTTTTTTTTTTTTGTTTTTTTTCACTAAAAGACAAATTAGTTACAAAACCAAAAATAAATAAATCCAAACAAAATATCACATTAAACCCCATAATCATTTCACCTTTTCTCTCACAAACATCACATCCAACTACAAAAAAACCAAACTATCTTCCCAAACACAAAAAAAAATTTCTCCAATAATATCCTACAACTAAAAAAACCAACTTTCCAAACACTCACATTATGTTACATATTGTATATTAGCTCTGAATAATTATTCATACATACGATATATAATTACTTCATAAAAATATAAAATCTTAACGTGTCCCAAGCGTGTCATATCTTGCATTTTTTGAAAATTGACGTGTCAACGCGTCAATGTCATGTCGCGTGTCCATGTCTGTGTTAGCAATTAATGCAACCCTATAAAACAACCAATTGGCATGGGCTTCAAAGTAAGATGAGGTGCTCAGCTCACAAATCAAGCATCTTAGGTTTTGATTCTACACAGGCTTTCTTGATGACAACGGTTTGCCAGTGACTCTTGCACCTAATGATTAGTCTCCATAGGAGCTCAACCATTAGGCCACTTGTTGCCGAAAGCCCAACAAAACAAATCTTTAAAAAAAATTATTGTCCAAGGACCCAATTTTATAGGCACAATAAAATAAGGCGTCATTTTAGTATTTAGAATGTTCCAAAAAATCTCGAGCCGCCATTGTTATGTGAGTCTCATCTCAAGAAAATTAGGGACTGTTAGAATAGGAAATTATTGATTGTATTCTTTTTTGTTCTCTTAATTGCTCAGAATTATGCCTTATGACACTCCTGTAATTGCTCAGAATTATCAATATAAAAGGGAATGAAGTCTAACTCATTCCCTAACTCTTTCTCTTCTCTAAAACTACATGGTATCAGAGCCTAAACCCTAGCCCATACCTTCTTCCTGTTTGTCGGCAGCTCTTTCTTCCCCAGGAGCCCAGTCGGCCACAGTAGCCTCTCACCCAGGCCATGGTCTGTCATCCCACAGTCCATCCAGGCTATCGTCAGTCCACTAGGGGGTTTGTCGGCACTCTAGGGCCTCACCCAGGCCATCGTCAGTCCACTAGGGGGTTTGTCAGCAGCTTCTCTGGCACCCTAGGGCCTGTCGACAACCCCTCTGGCTTCCTTGGCTTCTGTCGGCATCTCCTAGGTTGCTATCGACTCTTTCCTGGTGTCGACTCTCTTCATTGTAGTCAGTGTGTTCTTCTCTCTCTCCCTCTCTCTCTCTCTCTCTCTTTTCTTGTGATGGCTCGTTAGTTACATAAAAAAATAATAATAATAATAATAAAATGATTCTTAATTCTTTATGAGTTTCTAGTTACTATTGTGCTTGTTCCTTCACTCTCATATTCCGGGTTTGTGATTGGCATTGTGGTTGAGGAATAGTTAGTGGCGCCCCCATGGCAGATTTGACTAGTGAATCTACTACCTCTCAGCCCTCTCAGGGCGAGAGTTCTGTCATCCCCTTTACTATGACTGATACCCTCCACAACAGCCTTAGAATTACCACCTCTCTATTCAATGGTCAGAATTACCTAGCGTGGTCGCAGAGTCTGACTATTTTCTTGAAGAGCAAGGGGAAGATAGGATATGTTGATGGGCGGGTTCAGGCACCCAGTATCACCAACCCTCATTATGCCTAGTGGGAGATCGCCAATTCTCTAATAATGGGCTGGTCGATCCATTCTATGGTTCCGGAGATTGAAGAGGGCTACTTGTCTATGGACACTACCCAGGATATTTAGGAGGCCATAGCAACTACTTACTCCAGGAAGGGGAACTTCTCACAGGCATTCGAGTTACGTCGCTCCATTAAAAGGTCGGGTACAAGGTGAGCAGACAGCTTGATCACCTTCAGGATTACAAGCCCGTATGTCCTACTGATTCTGCTGGTTACCGAAAGTTTGTGGTGCAAGAGCGGATCTTCAAGTTTTTGGAAGGCCTAAATGTGGAATATGATCCGGTTCAGAGCAGAGTACTTGGCATGGATGTGCTTCATTCTCTCCAGGACGCCTTTGCTTTTGTGCAAAATGAGGAAAGTCTCCGTTTTGCGATGCTTCCTTCTGCTACTACTAATCGCTCAGCCTTGGTTTCTACACTCTCTCGCGATGGTAACCGTGTGACTTGTGGTTCTCGTCCTTCCTTTGAGAAGGATACTCTTTACTGCGACTATTGTCGTCGATCTCACCACACACGAGAGACTTGTTGGAAGCTGCATGGCACTCCCTCCGATGGCCGAGGTGACCACCTTGGTACTCGAGGGGGTCGGTTTGGTACTAGAGGCCACGGGGCCAATGCACGAGCCCATCTTTCAAACACTGTTGAACCACCATCTTCATCTCCAGTTGTCTCCCCTCCTGCTAATGTTTCGGGGTTATCTGCCTCGGATTTTGAGATTGCTCTTCGCCACTTGTTAGACCGTCGAGCCTCCACTTCTGCTACAGGTACACCCTTTTCTTCCTTTGCCAATTCAGGTAACTTGGCTTCCTTCCCATGTGCATTGCTATCTCATACGACTGTACCATAGATTATTGAATCCGGTGCTTCCGACCATATGTTTGGCTCCTCTATTTTATTTTCAAAGTATAACCCCTCCTCAGGTCGAGAAAAAGTGTGTATTGTTGATGGTACCATTTCGTCCGTGTCACAGAAAGGTTTAATTCATGTCACGTCTTTCCTTCCTTTATCTTCTGTCCTACATATTCCCAATTTCAGTGTTATCTTTTATCTTTGAGTCCTATTACCGGTGACTTAAATTGTAGCGTGACATTTTTTCCTGATCATTATCTTTTTCAGGACCTTATCACGAGGAAGAGGATTGACAGTGGTTGAGAGGAACATAGGCTCTACATTCTGGATCAGACAAACAAGCTGGCTTATTCATCTATTCAGTTATCATCCACCTAGGAAGACAATTGGTTGTGGCACCGTCGCTTAGGACATCCCTCTTTTTTATTACTTAAGCATTTATTTCCCTCTGTTTTTGAGAAAAATAATGTGTCAGATTTTCAATGTGAGTCTTGTCAACTTAGAAAACAACACAGAGCCTCTTTTGCTCCTATTAATAAAAGTTTAGTTCCCTTTTCTTTGATTCATTCTGATGTATGGAGTCCATCCCGTTTTGTGTCTTTAACCGATCAAAAATAGTTTGTTACCTTCATAGATAATTGTTCCAGGGCTACTTGGGTCTATTTGATGAATGATAAAAGTAAGGTTTTTTCTGTGTTTCAAAACTTCCATAAAATGGTTTGTACTCAGTTTGGGACGGTTGTCAAAATTCTACGTTCTAATAATGGGGGAGAATATATTGACTCTGGTCTTGCCACTTACTTCGCCACACATGGCATTATTCACCAGACTTCATGCACTAATACCCCTCAACAAAATAGTGTTGCAGAATGCAAAAATCGTCATCCCCTTGATGTTGCCCATTGTCTATCCTTTGAGATGCGAGTTCCTCGATCCTATTGGGGGGAAGCGGTTCTCACTGCCGCTTATTTGATTAATCGTCTTCCTATCCAAGTCCTTCAAAAACAAACACCTCTTCAAGTTTTGTTCGGATCTATCTCTTCCGGATTCTCCATTTCTCCTAAGACCTTTGGCTGTGTTTGCTTCTTTTTTTTTTATTCATAAAATTGGATATGCAGATAGGCTACTCCAACATATCTGCCAGGGAGTATTGCCCCTTAGCACCTACAACATATCTGCAGGGAACCCCACCGCACCTACGTCGGGGCCGAAGCTTAGGCCCCTCGCGTGCTCCAGGCGCTAAGGAGTATGTTTAACCCCAACAAGGGCTATGGAGACTCGAACTCAAGCCTTGAGCGAGGGATTCGAAGGTCTTATCCACTGAACCAACCCCCTATTGGTGGCTGTGTTTGCTTTGTCCATAATCATTCTCCCACTTGTGGTAAATTGGATCCTAGGTCACTTAAGTGTGTTTTTCTAGATTATTCTGCCACCCAAAAGGGTTATAAGTGTTATCACCCTCCCATTCGCAAATGGTTGTCTCCATGGATGTCACATTCTTTGAGTCTCAGCCTTACTTTCCGACTTCCCCGGTATCCTAGTCATCTCTTCCGAGGAAGCCTTGGTGTGAAGAGATTCCTGTTCCATCTGTTTCTCTTCCGCCAATGGTTGAACAGATAGAGGATGATGAGCCAGTAATTGTTGAGGACAACGAAGCAACCAAAGTTTATATCAGGGACAAGGACAGACAACAAGTCACCTGGATGCAAGAGTCTACTCTCCCTCCACTACTGCCAACTTCTTCACCGAATGAGTGTCCAAAGTCAACCTCATCTCCTAAGAGTCCAGGTAATTCTAATTCTAGTACTCCTATTCCTGATGTTTCAGATCTTGACGTTCCCATTGCTAATAGGAAGGGAGTTAGATCATGTACTCAGTATCCTATTACTAATCATGTCTCTTATCCTAATTTGTCTTCCTCATATAAAGCCTTTCTGTCTAAAGTGTCTTCTGTGAGTCTACCTACCACTTTTCAGGATGCTCTCTCTATTCCTGAATGGAAACATGCCATGATAGAAGAGATGAGAGCTCTCAGCAAGAGTGGCACTGGGGAGTTAGTGGAGTTACCTAGAGGAAAAAATCCAGTTGGGTGTAAGTGGCTGTACACGGTAAAACACATAGCAAATAGTTCCATAGAACGGTACAAAGCAAGATTGGTTGCGAAAAGCTTCACTCAGACTTGTAGGGTAGATTACCAGGAGACATTTGCACCGGTTGCTAAGATAAACTCCTTGAGAATCTTACTCTCTCTTGCTGCAAATTTGGATTGACCACTTCATCAGTTTGATGTGAAGAATGTCTTCCTTCATGAAGACCTAGCAGAAGAGGTCTATATGGATATTCCTCCTGGTTTTACGGATGCTAAGTCCAAAGGTAAAGTATGCAGGCTCCGAAAGTCGATTTACGGACTAAAGCAATCCCCTAGGGCTTGGTTTGAAAGGTTTGCTCAAGCTATGCTGAAATATGGGTTCAAGCAAAGTCAAACTGATCACACCTTATTTGTGAAACACTCCTCACATGGTAAGACCACAGCTCTCATTGTTTATGCTGATGATATTGTTATGACAGGGATGACGTTGAAGAGATCCCTTGGTTGAATGAATACTTAGCCAAGGAGTTTGAAATCTTTCTTGGATATTAAAGTAGCTAGGAGCAAGGATGGCATCTTTATATGTCAGAGAAAGTATGTGCTTGACTTGCTAAGAGAAACTGGACTACTTGGAGGTAGACCATGTGATACACCTCTAGAACCAGGCCAGAAACTCAGTGAGGATCAAGAGGGAGAGCCAGTGGATAGGGAGAGATACTAGAGATTAGTGGGCAAGCTCATATACTTATCCCACTTACGTCTAGACATTGCCATTGCCGTGAGCATGGTGAGCCAGTTTATGCATGCTCCTAGAACCTCCCACTTAGAGACAGTTATGAGAATCCTGAGATACCTGAAGTCTTTTCCTGAAAAGGGTCTCTACTTCTCAAAACATGGCCATCTCAGTGCGGAGGCATTTACTGATACAGATTGGACAGGATCAGTCATTGACAGACGATCAACTTCTGGATACTGCACATTTGTTGGTGGCAACCTAATCACGTGGCGAAGTAAGAAACAAAATGTGGTTGTTCGATCTAGTGCTTAGGCAGAATGCAGGACTATGGCTCAGGGTGTATGTGAGTTACTATGGATTAAACTATTGTTGGGAGACTTGGGAATTCATTAGACTAACTCCATGCGACTATACTGTGACAACAAGGCCGCAATTAACATAGCTCATAATCCAATTCAACATGATAGAACTAAGCATGTGGGGATTGATCGGCACTTAATCAAAGAAAAATTCACTAGTAGCACCATATGTATTCCATTTATGAAGATTAGGGACCAACTAGCTGATGTTCTCACCAAGGGACCAGGGAGCAAATCCTTTTATAGCATTCTCAACAAGCTGGGCATGAGAGATATCTTCGCACCAGCTTGAGGGGGAGTGTTAGAATAGGAAATAATTGATTGTATCCTTATTTATTCTCTTGATTGCGCAGAATTATGCCTTATGGCACTCCTGCAATTGCTCAGAATTATCAATATAAAAGGGAATGAAGTCTAACGCATTCCCTAACTCTTTCTCTTCTCTAAAACTATAGGGACGCCATGTTGTAACCAAAAAAACACTACAAAATTACCAACTTTCTTCAGCCCTTTCTGTTCTTTCTCCAAAATATCACCAATTAATAATAAACAAATAAATATATAAATAAATAAAATTGACTGATAAGAACATGGCAATTGTAAACAGAAAACCGAGCAAAACATTGATTATAAAAATAAAATTAAAACACCACTCAAATTTATTTCAAAAAATCAATAATGAAGCATTCCGATTTCTAAATACAGATAACTCATTAAAAAGACTACCAATAGCAAAATTTTGGCAAAATACACGCCCCTCCCACACAACTAATCACAGCAGCCATGATATCCAAATAAGAAAACTTCCCATGTCACACATCAAGAAAAGTATATTACAATAAAATACATGCGCTGTGAACTGCTGCATAGTTTCACACTTATGAAGGTGCAATTAAAGTTACATCCTGAAACGTGATAACTACCAGAGATTAACCCTTCCGAATCATGATTGTGTCAGACCAGGCTCAGCTAAGAAATTCACAATCCTATTCAACAGATTTAAGCCAAAAACAGTTTCTTCACAATTGACTTTGACAGACACACTCAGTGGTTCAGAGCATTTACCTTTAACAGTAACAGTGATTAAGCAAGGGTTTGAGTTTGCTCAAGATCTGCCACTGCTGAACCGGAAGCGCAAACCTGATGCATCATTGGCAGCAACGGGCATGTCCACAGACACGAGAAAAAGATTTGCATTACTGAGCATCTTTAATGCTAGGCTCTCGCAAATTGCAAGAAACTTGTCTTTTAGTATTGAGCTATCACCCTTCTCATTTTTCAGCTCCCCAATATGGTCAGAGAATGTACAACTGTTACAAATTATGAAATAAAATCCAAAGTAAGATTACCAACAACAACCCAAAAAAAAAAAAAAATGAAAAAAAATAGAAAGTATAGAAGAGAAGAGAAGAGAAGAGAGTGACAATTATAATTCAAAAACCACAATCCAATAAAAATAAATAGCCAAGAGGATAAAGAGTGTCCACAAACAGTGCCCACGGTTAAACAGTAAAACGGTGCCCACAAAATAAAGAAATCACCTCCACCATATTCACGGTAAAACAGTGTCCACCAACTCAAGCTTAGATTTAATAAAGTGAAAGACGCACAGGAAGTCAAAGGTTTTGGAGAACTGTTGCTTCAATTATTTTGGATTTTAATTTCATGGTCCTTATTTTAATTAAAAGTCAAGAAGTAATATATAAAACTTCAAACAAAATAAGCATTACTTTCTAAGTTTTTCCACCAATGGAATTAAGAAAAAAAACCCAAATGGAAGTGGAAGTCACAAAATATGAAGAGGGAGAGAAGATCATTGCCCATCAGTGGAGAGAAAAAGTGACAACGATGATTATAAACTAACCTCCTTATGTATTCAAACATTCCAGGGAGTTGAGATTCCTTGCTCATGAACAGTTCAATGTCCATAGGAAGAGGTTTTACAAAATATCCAATGTCAGGCCGCAATTTAACAGGATGCTTCTTGCCATTGCACCACAAATCCAACTTCAGTGGTAAAAGATGGTGATGGAAGCGAACCTGGAGGATTCTTTTTGTACTCTGACCAGCATCTAGGGAACTAATCTCTTCCATGGGAACGACAGTTGGCCCATCCTTGTGAGTTGTCAAGGGACTGCAGTATCAAGATGAGGGTGACATCAACAAGCTTTTTCAAGAACAAAACAGAAGATGCAAAGAAAAGTAAACAATCTGGTTGTAGTCTCACAGAAGCATCTAAAAAATAATACTCAAACAAACACTTATTAATGAATCTAGGGGCGGAGGGAGCATGGGCCCAGGAGGGCCCCCCCTCCTCAACTTCATAAATATATTATTTTTTTGATAAATCCTCAATTTCATAAATATATTATTTAACATATGTTCAAAAAATAGTTACTCAATAATGTATCCAGGCGCAGAGGGGAGCATGGGCCTGAGAGGGGCACATGACCCTCAACTTTATAAATATATTTTTTAACATATGTTCATAAAATAGTTACTCAATTCCCCGTACTTTCCCCCCCCCCCCCCGCCCCTTTTTTCTAAATTTTAATATTTATACTAATATTTGTTTTCCTTTTCTTATGTGATAAATATATGCTTGTGGAATGTTTACTAAATGTTTGATGAAATTCCATAATAAAAAACTTGTTTTCCTCTTATGTCTCTTTTCTCAAGCTGTAAGAGGTGGAGGGCAGGGATGACCATCATGGTCCCAGTCGGTGTCGTAGTTAGGGTTGGGGAATAAGTGCACCAAGGGCAAGGCATGATGGGATGGGGGACACTATCATAGGCATAACATTTTACTTCATTATTGCCTCTTTTCTGCGGGTGAATAAGTCGTAAAATAGAACAAGATAACTATACAAGAATACAAAGGGCCTCATTTGAGCCAAAATCCTGGCTACACCACTGAAGGAATCAACCCACTTCAAATAATATGTCATATTTTGTGAAATCCTTATTTTGTTTCCGAATGAATGGATGTCCTATATTTGATGAATTTATTAGCGGCAACCTTAGTGAGTCCTAGCCATTGGAGGACGTTTATTTTCGCACCATAGCCGTTATTGAGATCTTCCTTTGACAACCGAGAATGGGTTGTTTTGCTTTGCTCTAATGGATGTACCATGTTATCATGTTTTAAATATGGAGTATTCTTATTAAGAATCTTCGAATGATTTCGGAATTATGAATTAAAATCAATGCTTTGCAAATCTAATTGGAATTCATTCATTTACCACTTTACTGTAATATTATTCACTGGGCAATGGCTCACCCCTCACCCTTATATGTATGTAGGTGCAAGAGAAGCATCATGAAGAAGTTAGCTGTTTGAAGTTCATGTATATGCTAGAGTCAATAGAGTTGTAATTAGCCTTGCACATGTTGTATTCTTTCTAAAAGATTATGTAATTAAGAATAATGTATGTTTCATTTCATATGCTTAAGCACTGCTCTGAATGGATATTTAAATAAAAGAATTTAATGGACTCAACTAAAGTAACTAATGGCTCCCGCAACATAAAATGAGATTTGCCCAAATTATCATAAGAGTCCAACCTGATTTTTGTTCAGTTAGGCCTTTGATAGTCAGGGACTACAGTGGCCGGTCACTGCACCATCCTGTTTGGGAAGGGTTGGGGTCGTGACACACCGACACGACAATTTTTTTTTTTTTTTTTAAAGAAAGACACGACATGTGGAGGACACGCACAAAATATATAGTTTTATGTATTTACTACATGTCATATATGGATATATCTAAATAATAACAAATAGCAACAAAATACTATTTTTTGTAAATCTACATCATTTTTCTTTTATCTTTGGACCGTAAGTTATTTTACTCAAAACTCATAAATAGTGCATGTGTCCAAGTGATGGACACGTGTCCCCCAAGTGTCTAAAGAGCGTTTGGGGCTAAAAGAAGTTAAAAATAATAAGACATGTTTGGGGGAGCATCCGACACGTGTCAAGAAGTGTCTAACGAGTGTTAGTGTTCGACATGAACACGCCAGTATGAATAATTCAGATGTTAAAGATCAGTACCACCAAAAATACTAGCTGAAAACAACTTTATACTCATTAAATCAAAGAAAGAGCAAGCAAATATAGCAATATATTATATATAAATGCCATAAATTTGCACATATACATCAATATAAAATCCGACAAGTGTATTTACTAACTATATGATATCAATGATTATAGAATTATGTTAGGCAATAATTTTTTTTTTTTGGGGGAAATGTCCCACGGGAGGGGGGGAATGTAATAAAAAAGTGATAATGGTAACTGTTATCATTTTCAACTTACTATAATAAGATAGACACACTTATGAACAGGTGATACATAAATAAATTAATATAAAGGCAACTATACATGGAGTTAATTAAGAAGATAATAATCCTAATTAACAAAGACCTTGATCATAAAAATATTTAATTGAGGAGATAATTAATGCTAAAATTTTGGGAGTAATAAGCTTTAAAACCTTAGGGGCTTGCTGCTTTTTCAGAAACAAATCACAATAATTATATCTTGCTATTAGGAAAAGTTGAGCTAATGGCAAATTTCATCACAAGCAAGTACTTTGATGATGATGACAAGAAAAAGAACTGAGATAAGTGACATATCCCACTAGTACGTGTAGTGTAATATTACCTCCCAGATGATGCCAGTGCTTGTTCTGCAGAATCTAGACCTTTGCTAGATTCCTCATCTACCAATAATAATTTTGACATAGGCTCCGTCGAACAGTTCTTGAAGGAGACTTCAACACATACAAGCAGTGGGGATACACTTGAAATCTCAGACGAAAAAGTATAATCCACATTTAAGCCATTTCCAATGGCAGGATCTAAGAGTGTATGGGATTTAAGTTTGACTCTGCCACTAATATCCCCAATAGATATCCTTGCTGAAGATCTCTGGACATGACTTAGTTCAGATGAATTCTGGCTCGGGTGCTCTTCCAACCAAGATTCAAGAGCCTTTTTGGACATCAATTCCCCAAAATCATCCAATCTAGACTGAGCATTATTATCCTGCAAACCTCCATTCTGATTTGTACAAGCATTACTGACATCTGAAAAATGAATCAATGGATCAGCATTATCATCAGTTTCACTCACAGACCCAATCTCATTACCACCACCAGCACTGTCACTTGAACCAGTAATAGAATCTTGAGAACTATAATCAGAAGTGCTTTCCTCATTTAATGATCCAGATACAGTGTCTGGACCATCCACTCCAACTGAGTCACTATTGGTGGCTTCTTCCCTCAATGCTTTTATTCCTTGAACATCATTCGAGCTGCAACCAAGTTCATCGCAGCTCAAACTACACGGGTTAGGGAGAGGTTCATACCCTGGTGCTGCATGAAAAACCATCTGTGAAAGAGAACCAGGAAGATAAAATCGATAATTAATGGGTTCAGGTAATGGTTTTGTTTGTCCCCTAAAAAAGAAGTCGGCAACTACAGTTTGCAGGTGCTTATTTTCTGGTAGACCTTTTGCTTCTTTGTCCAGATCATGAGAACCTATATGGCATGATAGAAGTTTCTTCAGAGTGCGAGCCCTGTCGCGGACATCATAGCTCAAGTCACATTTGGCAAGTTCAAGCACATAGCTTAAGATTCTTTTGAATGTCCACATATCTTCCCCTTTAGCACATAACAGGACCTGAAAAAGAGCGGTAGATGAATCAAGAAAAGGTTCAGCTAAACTAACAGGTTTGAAAAAAGGTAAAACTGTAATGATGTCAATATTCATTATGTCAACAACAGGGAAGGGAAAAGCAGCATAATCAAATTCTGCTGCCTAAATAAACAGGAAATTAATACTGAATGAATTCAGTGGGGAAAAAAATTAATAAAGAAAAAAAATCCCCAGTTTGATCCATGTTAGGTTTCTGAACTAAATAAGAGGTTTTTTCCTACTCATTTTCAATCCAAACAGTAGAAAAAATTCCAGCTTATCACTCGTACCAATTCCATAAACTTAAATTCTTAAGAGACAAGACGAGACAAAACATCCTTAACTGCATTATGAGTTTGGAATTGACTACCATCAACTGTGACTTATCCCACTCCAGGAAGCAGCACAATCAAATTCTGCTGCCTAAATAACAGAAAATTAATAAAGAATTCGGTGATAAAAAAAATAAACAAATCCCTAGTTTGATCCATGTTGAGTTTTGAAATAAATAAGAGGTTTTTTTCAACTCATTTTCAATCCGATCAGCAGACGAAATTCCAGCTTATCACTCAAACCAATTCATATGAACTTGAATTCCTAATAGACAGAACATCCCTCAATGACCAGATAACCGTGCACAGAATATTAAAGTTGGTTCTCAATGAAAATTTCAATAAGATATTATGCTGGAAATAGCATCATTTGTTTGCTTCCATAAACACAAATTATAGTTTCCATTCATCCTCATGCTTATTAAAAAAACAGAATGCATAAATTTATTAATGCAAGCGGGGAAAGAATAACTTATCACCACATCCCTATTCTCTCATGTGAACTGGAGAGTTCTCTTATTTATTTATTTTTTCCTTTTAAAGTAACTGAAGAAGTTAGACACAAAGTTTTCTACTACTTTCCTTTCTGTCATTTTTTTGTTTTTTAAAACCCGTAGTTCCATATTTTCAGCTGTATAAGATCAATACCAATCCTTTTGAAACGTACACCATAAAAGACTGTTTTGAGGACTGCTTGAAGCCAAAATAAAATCTAGAAATTTTTGGCATCAACATTCACAATTATCAATGCAATTTTACCATGACAATTGTTCAAAGGTGGTATTGGGAATAGTAGAAGCCTTAGTTGCATGAAGCAGGGGCAGGGGTAGGAACGAGAGCATATAAACGTTTCTTATGTTGGGAACATGTATATATTTATTTAATAAATATATAAAAATATTCTAACAATTAGTTTTTGTTGCTTAGTTGTAATATAAATAAACATTAGAGATTCATGTCAACTACAAATTGTCTTTATTAAGTACAAATAAAAACTACTAGAATAAGTTTGAGTTTTTTTTCTTTTGTTTATGTGAGATTTATATGTTTGAGAGGTTTCTATCTCAGTTGGAAGTGAGTTTCTTTCTCGACGGGAACGAGTTTCTTACAAGTTTCTTACTTGGGAGAGCGGAATCGCGTTTCTTACCAAGAAACGCCACTCAATTAGAAGGTTCTCACTACTAAGGTAGAAGCATCTGACTTCTACTGTTTCCCAACAAGCAATTTACTCTTTCAGCTTGCACTATTTCCCAACAGGTGGTCATGGCACAGCCCTTAATTGGTTAGAATCCAACTATCGGATTTGGAAGCCTAGAGTGAAGCCCAAGGGCCCGAAGACTTTTTGATCCTGTAAGCGTAATTTGTATTGGTATTATTTAGTTAGATTTCATAGTAAAATAGTTTCCTAATTAGATTAGGACTTTGGTTATACATATATATATATATATTAGGGTTTTGCATTGTAATATGCAGTTTTGATATTAATATATTACAAAGTTTTCTAATGTGTTCTTGGGGCACACTCTTAAGGCAAGACGTGACGAAAAAGCACCTGTGCATTGATTTTTAGGCAAAGCACCAGCTATGCGTAAGCCTCAAACTAAGAGGCGTTCGCATCAGGCACGTTTTTTGCACTTTTCATGCATCAATGACTGAGGCGTACAACTTCGAATAAGAAGATATACATACCATAGATGCAGGATTGCAAATGATCAACCTTCTTCTGAGTCCAAACGACTTCAGCTTGACTTCAACAGGTTATTTTCTCCAACGATTTAAGGTTTACACTCCCTCCCTCCCTCCCTCCCTCCCTCCCTCTCTCTCTCTCTCTCACAAAAAGTCAATAGGACTTAATGGTATTTAAGTCTACTTAATGGGACTAATTGGTAATTACCCCTTAAACTTAACCACTACCAACCCATACCTGAAGCTCAACCATAAACCCAATCCAGTTAAGAAAACCAAACCAGCACATCTATCCATCCAAGCCCAACCTGCCACTTAGCTTTCTAAAGCCCATCACTACCAAGCAACCAGTTGTTCACAATTGTCATTAGCCTTGCTGACTAACGCTAAGCTAAACTCGAAGGCCCCCGTTTGTTTGAATGAGGATTATTAGTACGGTGGGATTGAGTGAATTGAGAGAGGGAATTACTAGTGTCATGATATTAGGTTGGAGATGTAAGATAAATAATGCTTTTATATAGTGATATTAGTTGGTGGAGATTAAATCTATGAAATTACGTAAAAGGTTTTTGTAAAGTGAGGCAAAATAGGCTTTACACCTCCAATCCCATGGGATTAGATTTCGAGAAATTCTTCTTACACAACACTTTTAGCTCATTACACCCATCATTTTGAATTTTTCTTTATTACACTTGTCCATTTGTAAAATTACTATTGAGGACTCAAATCCCCAAACCTTCCTCTTCACAATTCTCTTTAGATCCTTTCATCTTTCTTTCCATCACCCACCACCACCACCACCACCACCATCTAGCCACCATTCCTTCTCTCCACCAACCACCACCCCCCTTTCTCCCATCTCTTACTCTCTCATCTATCTACAAATCTAAATACATCTAACTTAAAGAATATATACACACATAAACAGCCAAAAAAATATATATATATATATTTAAAATGAATATATGATCATTATAAATAAATAATATACAAGTCTTTTGTGTTTAAGAGATGTATTTTCAATCATTTTGGTGTAGCTTTTCATCATTTGAAAAAATTGGGTTCGAAACTCGTTTCAACTCTTGTTCACCGAACAAATTGAGATTGTTCAATCTTAGATAGCCGATCAATTTAAGTTTGTTCGGACTTCTATAGCTGAACATGACTGATTAATCAATTTTAACCCGTTCGGCAAGACACAACCGAACAACAAACCAAGTTTGTTCGGCCGTGTCTCGACGAACAAAGAAAGTTTGTTTAGCATTGGTTTGCCGAACAAAACACAAAAACCTGCATAAGAAGGTTGAAAAGAAATCTGCAGAAGAAGGCTTCAAAAGTGGTAATCATGATGGGAGGCGACAGGGTGATAATTGCAAAGGTGGAGAGTTGTGAGGTGGTAGCCATGGCACTGGGCTTACGGAGTAGTGGTCAGAGGTGGTGTAAGTAATTGTAGTAGTTGGAGATGGAAGAGTTAGGGTTTGAAAGATTTTCAGTGTAAAGAGAAGAGAGAAGGTCAAGGATGAGCGTACAGGTGGAATAAATAAGTGTGCAAAGAGATTAAATAAAAATTTTGAATTTTTTAGGAAGGTGTAATTAGAAAATTGGTGTAATGAGGTAGAATTGTGGTGTAAATAGAATTACCCTTATGCTCTATTTGGTTCACCAGAATGACATGAAATGAAATGGAATAGTCATTCCTTAGGATCTTCTACGGAATGATGTACATGAGATTCTATTTACAATGCATTTTTTATTATTGTTTTAGTAAACCAAATATGGGAATGAACATTTTAATGGAATGATCATTCCATTCCACTCCATTCCAGTGCACCAGACACTACCTCAGATTTCAATACCACCTCCCCCATGGGATTGCTGGTCCACTCCTTGGAGGGGTTTCATGGTCCCATGGGACTCTTAATCCCATAGCAATTTTTCAAAACAAAAATGATTTTTGTGGGCCCACCTCACTACTAATCCAATCCCGTCGTTCATCTCTCAAAACAAACATTGCCAAAGGTTGATACCCTAAACAAAGATCAACATGAATTGAAGCAATCACATCAGCAAATGGCAGTAACAATAAAATAGATGCAAACTACTTTAGAGAAGTTAGTTGCCACATTTTTGGAGGACAAAGGAAACGATAGTTACAGCTGGTGGACTTTAGGGTGCACCTCCACCTTGCGCTTTGGAGTAAGGACACCAAAGAGTTCCCAAGGATCATCGTTTGACTGATGTTGATAGAAGTGCCAAATTAGAAGTTCCAAACTTTAATGGGGACCACAATCCAAAGGTATTCTTTGATTGGTTACACAGAGTTTCATTCCATGGTACCATATGACAGATGAAAGAAAGTTGGTTTTTGCTGAAACAAAATTGAAAAGAACAACTAGGATTTTGTGGGCAAAATATAAGCAGGAACATTATGCCATTATATGTAACTGGGAAGACATGAAAATTGCAATGAACAGTTACTTTTTCCCACCAAGTTACAATATGAGCTCACTTGCAATTTACTCAGTCAACACAAGGAAGCAAGTTCATGAATGAATACACTCAATTATTCTACAATTTGGCTACAAGATCTGAGTTTCCATGGAATGAGGATGTCATGATTTCTATGTACCATATGGGACTAAATCTGCAAATCTCTCATGGATAAGCTAGCAGGCTTTACCATATGTTCAGCGTTGTCCAAGTAGCACTTCAATTGGAAGAAGTGGTAAAGAAAAACACTCCTATATGGCTTCCTATAGACACTCTTACAAGGAGTAAGAACTTTTGTGGAACCCATCCGCAACAAACTTCCTAATCGGCCTCCGTGTTCTACTCCTAGTCCTTTTGAGTCTTCGTATGGAGGTACCATCAAGTCCAAGTGTTTTAATTGTCAAGGTTTTGGACATCAACCTAGAGACTGCCTTTCTTCCAAGATTAATGTGCCAATTAAGTCAGTTGTGGTTGAGAATGAAGACATCGTAGAGGCAAAAAGAGTTCGAGAAAGCAAAGCTTGATGAACAGGTTGTTGAACCCCTTGATCCAGACTCTGATGATGAGGAATTTCAAGATAGGGTGATTAGAATCATTCGGCCATTGCTTGCAACCGGCAAGGAAAACATAAAAGAACCTAAGAAGCTGCAATGTAGACAAATTTTTCATTCAAGGGTGAAGTGTAATGACCAAGTATGCACATTAGTGATTGATACGGGGAGTTGCACAAATGTCGTATCTAAGGAAACTGTAAACGAATTGAGTTTGAAACTTGAAGCACACCCGGACCCTTACCATGTGGCATGGATAACGAGAAGCTCAAGGTTGATAAATGATGTCCCATGACATTTGGTCTCAGCAAACTTAACGAGACCGTAATGTGTGATGTTCTTTCTCTCAAACTTTGTCATATTTTCCTAGGTCGTACTTGGATATAGGATCACAATGTTGTTCATGTTGGTCATGCTTACGCCTACTCTTTCATTGACGGCAAGACAAAATACACTCTCACTTGCGCCACTGATTCATGCACCATCAAATTGAAAAAGTCCTAGTTGATCTAGCGTGTTCCTCCATCAGATGGCATTCTTGGACCTGCTCCTAACACACCGGAGTCAAGTTCTTTTCGGCGGAGGAGAATTGATGGTACATTCCTTGACTAGTTAAAATCTAACTATCAGATTTGGAAGCCTAGAGTGAAGTCCATGGGCTCAAAGACTTATTGGTAGTTTTATTATTAGTATTATTTAGATAGATTTAATATTAGAATAGCTTCCTAATTAGATTAGGACTTTGATTATATATATTAGGATTCTGTGTTGTAATATTTAGTTTTGAGATTAATATATTGAGATTAGAGGTTGTGGCTGTATTTGAGTTCTTCTCCCTCTCTTCTCTCTATCTCGTCTTACATCTGGTGCCTTGAGAGCTAAGAAACACGGACACTTCTATAGAGGAGCCATGTTATGTCAGACATGACATATGACACTCTGCACATACTCTTAAATGTGTGGCCGACACTTCTTCAACTTGTCTTAAATTTAAAATGTAAATTCATAATAACGAACACTTTACAAACACTTCTCGGCCACTTTGGAAACACTTCTTGAACCCTCCGAACACGATCTATGTGGTGAATCTGTTCATAATAACAATGTTATGTATTCTTTGAAATGCAATTTATTCATTCTAGATACGTTTTAATCATGTGCATTCTAAAATTGTTTTGCATTCTTTAGATTATAATTGTTTGGTAAATGATATTTTGATGTTTAAGTTATGGAATAATAAAGCCGACAACCAGCTACCCCTTTTGAGCTCAGCTTTAAGCAACTGGTTGATTGTGCCTAAACTCATGAACCCACTCATGTGACTAAACTCGCTTAAACCACCAAGTAGGGGATGAGCGAACTACAGGATGGCGAATCCCATCCTCAACTAAACCAAGCCCCAAAAGCCTAATTTCTACCACAAATCTCATGTCAAGGATGAGCAGCCAGAAGACCCAGCCTAGAGATTGCAGCGGGAAGAACTGCGTGTAGCTTGATCCACATCAGTACACAGGCAGCCCGGGCTCAGACAATGTCATTTTTGTTTTGATATTCTATATAAAATCCCATAATATATTGAGTCTACTTTAATTCGATGGATAGGATGGGACGGACGGGTACGCAGTAGGAGCCCTAAAGAGAAAGGGGGCAGGAGCACTCAACCCTATTCATGCCATTGTTAATCCACACTACCAGCACTCCTCCCGGTGGGAGAGTATATGGCGCTTTAATTTTAATTAGTGTTTTTTTTTTCATTATCTTTAAATTAAACTATTCATATATTTCACATATAATAAATTTATAAAAATATAAATTTTTTATGTGTCCTCAACGTGCCGTGTTTTGCATTTTTTAAAAATTGGTGTGTCGGTGTCGTGTCGTGCCGTGTCGTGTCCGTGTCTACTACTTAGCTTGAGAGTCAAAGAATGCTATAATCACAAATGATGGATCCAAAAGCACTAGTATATATATGTGTAGGTATGACTAGATTATGAAGAATGCAACCAATATTATTTGAGCTAGGCAGCATTTAGCTGTAGGCCTTCCTAGTGTGATGAACTATAATAACCATTCACAGTAAGATGGTTCAGTACACAACACAATGGTGCTAGCATGAACTAACGAAAGGACATGTAAAAGAGCACATCAACACTATGCTGTTGCTGACAGAATAAATGCATGCCAGTTGAGATTCAGACAAATAAACAAAGAACAGTTACACCACAGCAAGAGGAAGCTAGAACAAATTGAAGGCTACAAAAATGGAAGAAAGACAGATGAGACATTGATAGAGCTGGAATTCTAAGGGCCTAAATTTCATTTTCGAACAGAACATAGATTCTTGACACCCTAAAATGGTATGAAGGGCTTTAAAAAATTAAGTACCTACCTTGATAGCAGTATTAAGAATCTGGAGTTTTGCTTCAACTGCTTCTGAAGTAAAACACCAAGCCAGATATTTGAGTACTGTGGGCAACATCCTGGGAATAATGTCCCCAATGGAATTGTACTCTCCCACCATCCAAATTATCATAGCACGGGCAGCAGGCACCTTGATCAACTCCAAACCTCGAACTAATTGAATAATTACCTTTATAAAATAAAATTAAAGAAACGGGTTAAGTGATGGATCATATGTAGTATATGGCAATTCAATATGCACATCAATTTGTCACTGATCATATGCAGCAGTGACCAAAGAGATTCATACAAAAAGAAACATATACTCCCTCCATCCCATTTGTCCATTTTAGAGATTCCAACTTTTCCCATTTTCAAATATATTTAAAACTATATATAAGGGATCGGCAGCTGACCCCATTTGATAGAACTTAAGGCTTGGTTTGGATTGGTATATATAAGGGATAGTTTTGGAAACTTACACACTTTATGCTTTGACTTTTTAAAGTGGACAAACCTTTTGGGACATCCCAAAATGGAAAGATGGACAAACAAAATGGGACGGAGGGAGTATAACCAACATCCGAAGAAAGAACCAACATGCTCACGAATGATAAATTTGCTAGATATTACGCAATTGTGAAGTAAGATTCTCCTTCAATAGAAGTAGGATTGATTCCAATGACTAAGATCGCGATTCGTCTTTGAAAGGGGGATCGGATTTAAGCTCATGATTCAATGAAAGCTTCCATCACTAGCTGGTTAGAGAAAATGAAAGCATTCTAACAGAAGGTTTCCCGATTATGTTTGAGGAAAACCAGATTATGTCATTTTCTGACCAACTTTGGTACTCGGAGTGATGAAAATAAAGACTTGATAGAGATAAATTAACTAAATTAAAATTGTCTTTGGCCCAATAATTAATTAGAAGATTTAGCTGGTATAATGGCCATTGGTTTGATACGAATTATGGCAGCCATTACTCAAAAAGAAAGCAAATATCCAAATTCAGTGAATCACACGTGTCAAGTTTTCCTTTTGAAAAATTCATTTTTGAATGATTTCCAGAGTTCTGTTGAGATCACTGGTTACCCCAACTTTCTGACACTAACACAGTATTTTCATGACAATCTCCAAAGCCACATTTTTCTACAGAGTTTTTTAAGAACAGTCAGATGTTTAATAATTCCCTAACCAAATCCCAAATTTGATACTACAATCAGCAAAAAAACTCATCTCCAAGAGTAGCATTGTCCACCGATATTCAGGAATCCTTCGCCCTGACTGCTTGTTGCCTTCTTGCTTCAACTTTATTTATAGAGTTTTTTTTTTTAATTTGTTACGCAGAAACTAGTAAAGGCCAAGTTCGATTCCTAACCAAATGTGTGGATGGGTAACATTTTAAACATGTTTTATTTTTTATTTTTTTGCAATTAAAGTTTATTGAGAATGCATTAAACGGGGATGCTACCCATGTATAGAAAATAAAAAAATAAACAAAAAATAAAATAAAATAAACAAAAATAAATAAATAAACAAAAGGGCATAGACTTGCCAATCTACAAGCATTTTGATGACAAAATAAACTACAGACAAGCATAATGTCAAAGTAATCATAACCCCTGAATTTGGCAGAATCATGCTTCTCATGGGTATCGACTTTTAAAAGGAAAATAAATACCTGCAGGTGTTCTACTTTTGATACTTATTGGAGAAAATTTTTGTTTTTTTCTGTACTCATGACTTCAATTAATATTTACGATGTTCCATTTTTTTGTGTACAAGTTACAACCAAAAAAATTGTGCACCTTCCCGATAAATCAAAAGCAGAAACTGTAAAAGCTGGGGGGGAAATAGAGGTCAAGACCAGTAAGAAAGGTTGAAAGGGAGAAACTGTGTTCCATCGTGTATATATATATATATATGCCAGTGGATAAATTAGTAAGAATGTATATCAAAGAAACAAGAAGCCATCAAGCTACATGGGAAAAAAGTCCAGGGCATCTGTAATTGTCTATTCCCGGATTCTAAAGGAATATACTATTTTTTATGTCCGAGAAGAAAGAAAAAGAAAAGGGGACAAAAAACAAAGGAGAGATTATTATAATGAAATAAATATAAATGACTAATTATTTACAACCAAGACAATTAGGAGTTTAAATTTTTATGAAGTATTAATATTATGGATTTTTTAACCTATTAGTCAAAAATCACACTTACAGCTGTTAAAAAGTCATTTTCATCAACTTCCCTGAATAACCATACTGACTTCCATTAGTAAAATGACACAAAGATATATACCTATTAATTTCCACTAGTAAAATGGTATATATGCATGTATAGATATATACATATTAATATGAATGTGTCCGTATTTTGCTTTTGTACCAGCTTAGTCCTGGCATAGAAGTGTAACAAAAAAGCATGTAGACGCTTGCATAATAAACCACTGCAAACACCAAGTGAAAATAGTGTCCAAGAGGAAATCCAATAAATCATATAATACATACGTAAAGGTGTGTCTTTTATTGGCATGCTCTGGAATTATGCCATGTGACAAGCTCATCTGTTGCCATGTGTCATTTTTGTTATTTATTTATTTTATTTTATCTATTATAACTCTCTTTGTTGTCTTTTTATTTTCCTTTACTGTTTTTCTCCATATTTTCATTTAATGAGAGTGGGGAAAATGGATAGTCTCTCGTATGGGAGATGAATGATATTTCCTTCTCGCTTATATAATATGCTACACACATCTAGCATCTTCTCAACTATAGCTCTCTCCATAGTTGCAACTCTTTTGATGAATGTTAGCTAATTTCTCTCCCTTACATGCTTTGTATACACGTTTATAGTACAGGCTACGTTACACGGACTCGGGTACAGGTTTCGGATGCGGGTGCATATCTAGGGGTCGGACACCTTAAAACTGAAAATGAAAGATACGGAGATACGGATCCAAATTTGGACACGGGTACGGGAATACGGTAAATAGTTATTTTTAAAAAATATTATTAAATTATCATGTTAAAAACTTATCCAAATAAATTTCTAAATAATATTTAATTAATTAAATACAACATAAAAATATTTTTAAATAATATTTAATAATATAAAAATATTTTTAAATAAAATCATTATATTTATAAAGTCATTATTTTAAAAGTAATGGAGTGAGAAAGAGAGTCATTATTATCTTTAAATAATAGTGGGGTGTGACAGAGACATAGAGAGTCATTATATTTAAATAAAAGTAGTGGAGTAGTGGTGTGATATTGTTTAAGAAACAAAAAAAACAAAATTTGTCAAAGAGGCTTTACCTGTTAAAGAGAGAGAGAGAGAGAGAGAGAAACAGGAGATTGACATGGGTAGGGGTAAGGAAGACAAGATCGAGATCGCACTTCGACTGTGACTATGACTATGACTTCGCACTTCGAACTCGATCAAGTCTAGCAAGCACTTCAGGTATGCTTACTCAATCATCCTTGCCATATCCACTTTCTTACTTCCGTATCCCAACCGAATTCCGTACTTATACCCGTGTCGTGTCGTGTCAACACGGATACTCTGCCCTAACTGGCGAGTCCATGTAACGTAGGGCAAGTCCATGTAACATAGACTACAGGTTTATATACTTTTTCAGTTTTTTTTTTTCCCTTTTGTTGCGTCTGTCATTGTTTATAAATCCTTTACAATTCAAGTAAATAAAATTGAGTCTACTTCCTTATCTATTTCGCATCGACATCGTAAATATATATAGATATATATATATTGATGACAATCTTCTTATATTTTATAGAGTGCTCATAAGCTTTTTTTTTTTTTTTAAAAACCCCTTTTTTTTTTTTTCTAGTTTTTTTTTTTTTTTTTTGTGTGACTATTTTAACTAGTTAAAAAAAAGTTATTTTTTGACTAATTTTTTTAATATTTTTTTTTTTTTTTTTTTTTTTGGTTACACATAAGCTATGTATAATAAATATCTATTCAGTATTTATGAGAATTTGTAGTGTATTTTTTAAAAAAATTTGTGTTATGTTATGGGATAATTGTAGCCTGGAAATTTTAAAATAAGCATGATGCTAACTTCAAGGAAAAAATAGAAAAATAATTGAGAGAATATATTTTCAATTCAAATATGAGTTCAAAAAATTGGCCGATTTGGTATCATTTTCCAAAAGAGTCTTCCATTTTTTAAAAAATAAATAAAAACAAAACATTGCCTAAAATGGATTTGTGGAACTATTTTTAAAAAAATGTTTGCCAAAAGCTTTCTTTTAATGAAATTGGTATAAAAGATTGTGTTTTCAAACTTCCCCTCCCATGTCAAAAATAATAAAAACAAAAACTAAAAAACAAAAGAAAAAAATCAAAAGGGCCTTACCTTATGCTTTTCAATTACAGTAATTTGTACTCCCTCCGTCCCAATTTGTTTGTCCATTATAGAAAATCCAACTTATTAAGAAGACATGCAATCATTACATTTTAATTCAAATTTTGAAATATTTTTCCCGCCATTGCCCTTCTATTTGAATTTTAAAATGTGTCTATAATGATTTATAGGAGGCAATTTTGGAAATCTAACAAAATTTAGTATCCCAAAATAGAAAGTGGACAAATATTTTGGGACAGATTAAAATGGAAAGGTGGACCAACAACATGGGATGGAGGGAGTAACAATTTTATGTTTTATCAATGCATTTTTTATGATGGTTTGTGTGCAACAATAAGTTAATTTGTTGTTTTGAGTTTCTATGGGGATAGATTCATATATTGTACATGTAACAAATTAATGTTCACTTCTTATTGCATGCATTTTGAAACTTAATTTATTCATAAATTTGTAACAAATACCATCTTTGAGTCTGTATTGCTTTGAGTTTTTGCATATACGCATCAACAAACAATTTTTTGCTTGACTATTAAAAAATCAAATCTACATAAAATTAAATTTTAGAAAACTAGTGTTTATTTATTGTCGTTTGTCATCAAATCTCAAAGATATGCGAATTCAGATAAAATTGATAGAGAAGAAACAGCAGATACTCATAACAGAAGCCAAACAGGAAAAGGCAGCTACTAGAAAAATACCTTCTCATGACAAGGAGGATCAAGATTTATGATTGCTCTAATGGATATTAGTGCTTGAACTAAAACGCCCGCCTCTCCATCGACAGACCCAATGTCACTATTTAACAATTCTGCCATGTCGGGAGTTATGTTAAAAGATAGTAAACAAAGAATTTCTAAGGATCATCTAGAACAGAAAAGCTGGTCAGTGATCACTTACCCTGTCTAGTCAGAGCCAATAGCCCTTCCAAACACATGTTTGCTACTTTTGGAAGTCGTCGCCCACACAAGCCAATTGCAGCAACAGTATCAGCAGCGAACCTTCTGTCTGGATCTCTGATGTAATCCTAGCAACACACTAACAGATAAGCATCAATTCACAACTCAAACCCCGTGTAGCTCATTTATAAGTAACTGACTGCAATGACTCTGGCAAATTTGTTAATTTAGCAAAACTTGAAGTGTCTAATAAAGGGGTCAAACAATCAAATAAGCTATGTAGGTAGAAAGGTATGGATTCCAATAAAAATACAAGCAGAAACACAACCATCACAAGCCAAAAAGGAAAAAAATGGCAGCTTGTCACTCTAGAGATAGCTCAGACTTTCCTTCTCAAATACCAAGTGGAACCCAAGACGTGCTACCTAATATAGTCATATTGTTTCTTCTCACTATTAGCGAGAAAGAAGAGTTAGACGTGTTCCCTGCTGGAGTGCTTTTAGCAATTTTTACTCATTGGATCTGCTTTTAAAACAAGCTAGAATACAACCACCTGTAGTGGTTACACAGTAATATAGATTAATCTTCTATTGAATCTGCTTTTCACTTTTTCTGAAAAAAAAAAAAAAAAAAAAAACCTTATTAATGGGCAAAAAAAATCTTATTATGAAAGACAAATTGTACCATGAAGAGATTCTGCTTTTAGGTTTTGTTTTTTTTTTTTAATCAAAAAATATATAGTTGTGGAAGCAAATAGGAAAGTTGCCCAATATGTGTTCTTCCATTTGAGCAGCAGCTTATTGTCCCAAAATCTTACCCCTTCAATCCACATTCCTCCACAATCTTTGTCCTAATGCTTGTCCAACATTGCATAATTCTAAACATTCTTATTCTCTATTTCAAACACTGTTCAAATTACACATTCCATCATATGATAAGGAACGATTAAAAGAGGTGCATAATGAGGGAAACAGTAAACAGTTTCGTGTAGAATCTTATAAAAATTAACCAAGAACAAAACAAGTAGCACGTAAACCTAAAAGACCAGTCATTACTCCAAACCATAAAATGCAGTAACAATACTTCACAAAATTTTTAGGTAAAGAAAATATTTTTAACGAAATGTTCTAAAATGATGAAGTTCTATATCATCTCTAGAAAAGATTTCAAGGAGGACAAACTTCCTTGTTGAAGGAAATTACTTTGTTATTATTGCGGATAATGAAAGACACATAACCATACCCAAAAAAAAAAAATACCTGGAACTCTTGAAAAATCACCAAGATTGATGAATCTATAGCGATGGAAGACAATATTTCAAGTTTCAAAGCTTTTATTTGATACAGATCTGAAGAACATATAAAGAAGTCTTCAAAATAAGGAGAAAAAAGGCAAGGCATCGCTTTAGCAAACACTTGAATGTTGCAGAGGACCTGCACACACAGTCAATAAAAGTGCAAGTAAATAACCAAAACGAAGGTTTTGAGCAATGCAGCATTGCCAAGGTGTAACCAAATTGCCCAAGAACAATCCAGTTACAGCTGCTCACTGGTAACATATTTTCAGGTAGCATTGGAATAGGTATCACTAATGCACCAGCCAGTATCAACCAATATACTACAGCCCATACAAATACACAAACTAATAAAAGTGAAAACCATGGCAAAAACACCATCCTTAATCCCAAAAGAATAAAGACGAAGAAAAGAAAGGTGCCAAGACCAAACACTAATGCGTCACAAATCACAATAATTATATGTTTGTTCATGCAAAGTATGATTTTTATAATTTGGCAAAGTTCACAACAAATTGTTTACACACTTAACCATACTTGTCAGCATGCCACCTTTGCAACCAACAAGAATATAAACATCCATGCATTCAACCACCAAAACATATATACAAATTTATACAGTTATCAAATGACCTCTGTAGAGAGGATAGAAATCTTCCAGGGAAAAGAAATGTGCAGGTATTGTTCACCCATAGTTGCACGAAGCGAGGGCTGGGATGGAAGCTGGAGCGAGAGCGGGGGAGTGAGGGCATATAGAAGTTTCTAAGGTTGGAGCGCCTATGGAAGCATGTATATATTTTATATATTAAATATATAACTATATTCTAGCAATTATTTTTTTCTGCTTAGTTGTAATATGTGTTAAAATATAAATTATTCAGATCAATGTCAATTACAAATTGTCTATGTTAACTATAAATAAATATTCTGTAAATAGAAAGTACTATAATGAATTTGACTTATTTTTCTTTTGTTTCTTTGAAATTTTTATGCTTGAGAGGTTCTATTTCAATTGGAAGCAAGCTTCTTCCTCAACACGAGTGAGTTTCACACAAGTTTCTTACTTAGAAGTAGGGGTGCGCGCAAATCGGGTTGGGTCAGGTGGCCGCCCATCCGCCATCCGTCCAAACTTATGTGGATTGAGAAAACTGTGCTGGTTGGTGGGTGGATGTGGATCGATTTCAGGGTTTGAGTTTTACTATTTTGGGCCTTTTTCAAACTATTTTCTAGTTGTCCTTTACTGTTTTAGGCCTTCTTTGGGCCCAAAATTTTTTGTTCTTCATTTTTTATAATAAAAATAAGGGGAAATATCGCATCAATGGACTTTTGAAAAAATAATTACAAATCATTGAGAACTTTATAAATATTAATAATTAAAATTATAAACTTTTTCATGTATATGTAAAAAAGTAAATAAATAAATTCCACTGGGGTGTAATTACCCCTAAAAATAGGTCCAACTTTTATATTTCATGAATAGCTATAATTATTAGTTAATAAAAGGCTATTTTTTAACACACACAACATAAAGCATAGCATTATTTTTTAGAATGTCAACCAAAAAAAAAAAAAACAAAATTGTCATTTTTTAAATAAACTCGTGGATGGGCACACACAATGCGTGTGCAAACTCGTTTGGTGTTATAATATGAAATTCACATTTTTCTCTAATAATGCACATATGAATCATACTTATAAATGTAACATTTGCTATTACATATTTGATAAATAAAATATGTACAAATATTTTTTTTTTTAAAAACAATACAGTATTTACTAATCTTTTCAAAAACGCTGTACATTATGAATTTATATAAAATCTCAATTTCGTGGTATGAGACTGCAAATCCAGCAAAGAATATATAGGATACAGGCAAACCCAAGACTCTTAAAACACTTATACTTAGTAAGACCTGCCTTGATCAAGTGAGCCTCCACCTAAGTAGTTCTCCACCCTAGCCTGCCTCTCCTATGCCTTGTAATCCCTTCCATCCAATGGCACCCTCCTGCTCTCACGCCTGCTTAGGTTGGGGGCTAGGTCTAGGGGACCCTATCGAGGTTGGTACCACAATCATGGAGCACCATAGGCTGAGCACTTGTTGGAATGTGTTCCACATCGCCTGGAGTTGCCCCCTCTGTGCTGATTATAAGGTTCCAATTTCTCTCTCCTTAAAAGGTTTTAAGGAGAAGTGTGTGCTGGGCTTTTTAATTTGGTATCAAAGCTGGGTTGGACCTGTGTTGTGGTCCAGGAGGGTGTGTTGGAATATATCCCACATCACTTGGAGTTGCCCCATCTGTACTGATTATAAGACTTCAGTTTTTCTCTCCTTAATAGCTGAGTTTTAAGGAAAAGTGTAGGCTGGACTTTTCAATTTGAAAGGTGTCCCACATTGCCTGGAGTTGCTCCATCTGTGCTGATTATAAGGCTCCAGATTCTCTCTCCTGAATACTTGGGTTTTAAGAAGAAGAGTGAATTAGGCTTTTCAATTTGGTATTAGAGCTTGGTTAGGCCTGTGACTGGTGTGCCGTTTGTCCGGCTACTATATGTTGTGGCCCAGGAGGGTGTCTTGGAATGTGTCTCACATCGCCTGGAGTTGCCCCCTCTGTGCTGGTTATAAGGAGAAGTGTATGCTAGAGCCTTATGACCAGCACAGAGGGGGCAACTCCAAGCGATGTGGCACACATTCCAACACACCCTCCTGGACCACAACATACAGTAGCCGAACAAACGGCACACCAATCACAGGCCTAACCAAGCTCTGATACCAAATTGAAAAACCCAACCCACACTTCTCCTTAAAACCCCAGTATTAAAGAGAGGAAAACTGAAACCTTATAATCAGCACAAATGGGGGCAATTCCAGGCGATGTGGGACACATTTCAACACACCCTCCTCGACCACAAGATACAGTAGCCGGACAAACGGCACACCAGTCACAGGCCCAACCAAGCTCTGATACCAAATTGAAAAGCTCAGCCCACACTTCTCCTTAAAATCCAGGTATTAAGGAGAGGGAATCTGGAGCCTTATAACCAACACAGATAGAGCAACTCCAGGCGATGTGGAACACAATTCAATAGCACTATCATGTGGCCTATGAGCAAGGTCCCTAGGGCTATGTGGCTCAGTAGCTAGAGTTTAGGGGTTTGTCAAGCCACTCATCCCACTCTTCATTAAGCAACTTGGACCTCGGTTTTAGAGAGAGATCTACAGACAAAGACAACTTTGAATGAAGACAAACACACATGGCATACTCCATACCCTTTTGTACCTAAGGAGCACATCCCACTACGTCTGCAACCTCAAACTGCAAGAGATATGGTCATTCAAGTATCATGGCAATCTCTCTCTCTGTCTTATGTCCTAAGGTCACTCAGCTCTCATCCAGCCCACCTTAGGCGGTTCATTGCCTCATAAGTGTTCACCATACTTTCCAAAAGGAAAGAATTATTTTTGTTTCGATGTATTGTTTTGATTAGCATGAAAATATAAACATTTCAAAAATATTTTAGAAATGTTTTAGCAATATTTAGGATGCAACAAGAGAATTTCAAATATTTGGAAACATTTATTGAAATCTATCAAACTGTATAAAATCCTAGTATTGATTAATTTAACATATAATTTTTATATGGTCATTACCATTCACATAAAATGAAGTGTAAAATTAAAAAATACAAAAATTCTTAAGTATAGTCAAATAACTCAATTTTATTACACACAAGTGTAAATGATTCTAAAAGTGTAAGATCCCAACAAAATAAGGTCTAAAAGCTAATTAGTTAATAGTAATTATATTCTTAATATTACTAATAGAGTAAAATACCTCCTTTTATTTTTATTTTTTTTTTTTGAAAGAAATAGTAAAAACATTTATGTAAAGTTAAATTCGTGTTGACACAACTTAATTTTTTTTGGTCAAGCACTAGTATTTTTCACTATTCCACTAGTGTTTGAAACAACGCCACGTTTTGGCCCTTCTAATGGGAAAAAGTATAAATTTTGTTCCCTGCCCAGAAGGCTCCCTCAAACATTCACAAAGAGAAACATAAAAAGAATCTAATATTCAGAAAAGCAAATGCAAATAATCCCCAAAACTAATCAATGCAGTAATATAACTTTTGCAGTAACACGCATAACATGACACGAGACTGACATTTTTTGTGACGGTTATAACCATTAGTCACTGGGAATGCAATACATGCTAAAAAAGGTATTGATTGAATTTTGAAACAAACACTTAGGGAGTGTTTGGGGATGGTAAAAATAGACAAAAAGTCCAAAAATCACTACAAAAAGTCAACTCATTCTCCCTACTTTTTTGCATGTTTTTTCATAGGAAGTCAAAAAGCCAATAAAAAGTTCAATTCCCAAACACCCCCTTAGTGTTACATACTGCTGACCAAGAGTGGCAAATTATAAATAAACAAATAATAAATAAATAAAAGGTTTAAGAAAAATCAACATTTGATCTTAACAGTTTAGTTGAATATTAAAGATATTTAATAGAAGAAAACTACACGAAGTAATATTTGTCATAACCATCAGTCATGAAAAATGCAACTGTTGACCAGACATGTATTAACAGTATTATTAAGCAAAGCACCAATGTACTCACTGCAGAGTAAGGGTGCCAAATTACACCATAAAATACATTTAAAAATTCAAAATTTGTTTTAATTAAATTTTGGCCTTGTAGAATAGTTCTAGATCATCAGTAGCACAATTTCTATGTAAACTAAAGCTATTTATCCTTTTGATCTCGAAAGTGTGTAAGGTAAAGTTGAAAATTAAAAGTAGTTATCAGCAGAAACCATAACAAGCAATTTACTCGAAACTTTCTCCTCTCACCTCCGTTTCTCAACAAGTGAAGTCATCTTTAAGGTGCAGAACAGAAAGAATCACCGATTCAAAGTTGATGCAATGTGCCAAAGTCCATTAAAAGTTCAATACTAGCTATGCCAGAAGCAATGTCAACCAAGTAATTCTAACACATAGGACAGTATCTCCAGTCTATATTTGATGCACATTGCAGAATTGCCTACATCTTACTAGTAAAACTAAGCTTAATATTGGATTACAATTATATGCATTTCATCATTTCATGCACCAGCAGCTAAAGGAAGAATCAGCCGCAAATTGAATTCCAATAAGGCTTGTTCCAATGCTCCTATAGCAGAGTAGGAAGGATGGATTAACAGCCACCAGATGGGAGAGAATATATTTTACATTTTTCAACCTTAAGTTTAGAAATAATCAGAAAATATTCTTTTGCAATAGAATTAAAATAAATTTCTTATCAGAGCACTTTTGATTCCAAAATTTTGGTAGCTTTCATATGTCTAATTTATTTAACAGTAACTGTGATGCTTACACCTTCATGCACTTAAATTAAAACAATAAAATAAAAGTGAAAAGCTCCAGTTTCAAGTGAGGGTCCTATTCTTTCCAAGCAATTTCTTCCTTTTCCAAAGCCATATGGCATCTACAAGTTATTTAATCACACAGATAGCACAGTCTAACTTCCATACCCACTAACAACTACCAGTACAACAGGCTTATCTAAAGTTGATACTCTCCTATGAAATAAAAACTGTATTCAGAGCATTATTTTAATAATTGGGAGAATCCTAATAAGATTATTACATAACAAACATCATGCTACTCCATTATGCTTGATTTGGACATTTTTTCCTTTTCTTATTTGGGTTCAAATTTTAGGCCATCATTTCTTTTCGGCAGCTTCTATTAGCCCCCACACAGTTACTTTGGACCCCCCATTATCCAAATATTATCTTATTACAATTTCACCCTATAGCAAACTTCTTTTTTGCCATGGTCACTTACCTCCCAAACCTAACCCTACCCACACAACCAACTCCGACCACTGCCAGCAGCTTTGGCCACTTTCCTCCGCACATCCCCAACTCCGGCCACCGCCGCCCAACCACCTCACTCCTCTCTGTCCCTCTCCAGACTCCCCAACCCATCCCTCAACCCTAGCTCATCATCCGTCAACCTCTCCCCACCACCCACTCACCCTCACAACAATCCCCCACCCCACAGCCACAGCAGCCCTTACCCTCCAGCCCTCTCTCTCTCTCTCTTTCTCTCTCTCTTAAATTCTAGGGTTTTGCAAAGGCACGGCTAGGGTTTCACAGGGCAGCGTTGGAGGGAGACAAAGGGCTGCAAGGGATGCGCACACCAATAAAAGAGGGGTTGGGGGTGGCGGTGTTGCGCAGGGAAAGGAGTTTGGGGTGACACCGGAGATGGCTAAGGTGGATGTGAGTGGCGACGGAAGAGGACAAGGGAAGCTAGGGAGGGGGGTCGCTAGTGGAGGAAAGAGCTGGGGCAGGGGGTCACCGGTGGGGAAGGGCAGCCGAGGAAGGGTTGCAATGGAGAAGGGGGTTGCCGAAGGGTGGCCGGAGGTGGGGGGCTCAATGAAAGGGAGGGCGATGTTGGGATTATGGTGGGTGCTCAAAGAAGAAAAGGTAGGGATCCATTTTGGTATATGGGGTTCCAAAGTAATGGCTATCCTAAGAAATTATGTGCGGGCTAATAGTAGCTCCCTTTCTTTTCTCACTACCTAAGCCCACGCTCTCCTTAGTCAAAAGTCACCAAATGCCACTGCAAAACCTATGTTACTTAGAACATGGTTCGCTCGGGTACGTGGAACGAGAACGAGAATGAGAACGAGAACAAGAACGTTGTACGCTACATGCTCTAAAATGTGATACAATAGGGGTAGGACTGCAAATGAACTAAGCTGTTCATGAACAAGCTACGAGCCGAGCTCGAGCTCGAGCTCAAATATTAGGCTCATTTAGTAAATGAGCCGAGCTCGAGCTCAAGCTCGAATAAGCTCGGCTCGTTTATCTTTATTTAAATTATACAATAAATATATTATTTATAAGTTAAATAATATATAAATATATATAAATAATAGTAAAAATACATTATTTATATATTAAATAATATTAATAATATTTTTATTTAAATAATATAAATAATATTTAAAAAAATCTTATCGAGCCAAGCCGAACCGAACCAAACCGAGCCGAGCTTGAGTTTCATTAATATTAACGAGCTCGAGCTCGATCAAGCTCGAGCTCAGAAAAGCTCAGCTCGGCTCTGCTCAGCTCATTTGCAACCCTAAATTGGGGTAGACTTGTATTAATTACACTTAATAATTGAAGGTCCTTCTGGTGTAATTTTCTCTTTAACTATTAAACATCCAATAAAATGTAGTTTTTTTTTTTTTTTTCATGTAGCAAAACATTTCTATGAGCATTATGGCCCATTTTTTATATTTTGTCTTGTCAAAACTTAACTCACCTTAGATTTAACTCATTATATTTGATTTTTTTCTTCCTAAGGTAACATTTAAAGAAATATATTAGAAATATATTAGAAACAACTTTTGGGATCGCTTCAGTTCAATTCACTAAATTTACTGTTTTGGAACAAAAGTGTACCATGTTTCTAAACGTGCGTACCAATACGTAATTCGCTAGGGCATTAGCGTTTTTTAATAACACAGTGCAAAACTATACATGCAAATATAAGGCAAGAAGCTTAAAAAAATAAGAAATTGAAAGTCATATAAAAAACGTTACACAGAGAAAGAATATGGAAAATACCACATATTTTGAGGCATTAGATGATCTCAAAATGAACAGAAGTGGTTTAACAATTCTTTTGACATCCTCCCTTGGTGCCATAATCCAGTGCACCCCTGCAGCTGCAAGTACCACAGCACTATTATGACTCCATAGCAAAGGCAATGTACACTGCAGCAGGATTTTCACATCAGAATTGCTTTTGGAAGAGGTAAAACTTGAAAGATTCAATCCAAAGAAACCCCTGTCTGCATGACTTGACCGTGATAAATATTTCTCTGGTCCTTCAAGGTAACTCCTGGAGACCATTTCTGCTAATTCAGACTCATAAGTGCCACTTCCTTTGTTGCTCCTGTTTTCTTTTAATTCAAAGTTAGTATCTGGATCATCATTTTCAGAATGGTAAGTCACAGTAGCACAAGAAGATAGCATAATGGATTCTTTCACAAGCCCATGCCTTGCAATTACATAACGCAAAAGGATCCCAATTAAGACAATCTGACCCCACTCCTCCACATCAGGAAGAGTCTCACATAATCTTATATAATTTCGTCCAATCAGAGACAGATTATTTGGACAAACTGAAGCAAATGCAGCAGCAGCAGGTCCAACTACTCCAGGAGAATTGTCATTCAACAATATTCCAACCATCTGCATAGGAAACATTGGACATTATTGATGAACAACAGAAGCCCCTCAAATATTATAATGATAGATATAAAAGTAGAAATAGCAAAGTTCTGCAGCTCAAAAAAAAGAGCCTTAGCATGGAGAAGAATAAAAGCATAACAAGCCCTCACTTCCAAAAATGAAAGTGCCACATGAATACATCATGATATCATTGAAATCTGCATACACTGTGCTTGTAGAGAAAACATACTGATGGCAAGCTGATAATGACAGAAAAAACATGTGCATGCAAAATAGAATGCATGAAATTCTACATCTATTTTTTGGTATACAAAACTAGTGCAGATTTCAAGTTGCGGCAATCATGCGATACAGCAAGTAAAAGGCCAACTTCCATATCATTTAACAACAATATTGGAAATCAAGACCAAAAACGCATGTTATCTCACCAAATGCCTTCTTCTCCACAACAATCACATGAATGTATATAAGTCAAAAAGAAGGAATGATGTGTGAAGTGAACCTAACAATTTAAGACATGTTTCAGAAACTGACCCTCATTTGAGAGATATGAATAATTGGACTTTCAATTAATGATTACACATGCAGCCGCGTTATATGTGTCACACCATCTTGGAATCGTAGAAAAAATATGGACAGTGTTATTGGGGAAATAGAAAGAACGCTCTCCCTATACCATGTGAATGGCAGCTGAAGAAAATTCTCAAGTCAAAAATCAAACAACCAAATAACAGGAACACCCAAAGTTCTGAATCACTGGAACTTTTGAGCATCATTTACTCTATTCAAGTGGAAAAAAAAGTAAGGGTAAAGAATAACGCATAAAAATAGAACATTCCACCTTTTATTTTCCAAGATATCTCAATAAACTGTAAAATTTAATGTTTTATTTTTTATTTTTATTTTTTTGATTATTATACCCTTATGTTACGCTTTGATCATAATAACAGTAGCATTAAAAAGTAATAAAAAATTTATATAAGTTGACCTCTTCAATTTCCGTAATGCTGTCCTCCAGGCGCAGATCATGCAACTTGGGGAGGGCATTGGCAGCACATTTTCTAACATATACAGATGGATCTCTAGCACATTTTCCCACAGCCACCAGAACTAGAGGTGCGATTACATGTAGACGGATCCCTGCCATGGCACGGAGAGCCCATGCGCGGACCAAAGGATTTGGATCACCCAGGTCCTTCTGAAAATAGTTAATTGATAGCAATGCTTCATTTGGACGCCTAGAATAACAAGGAACAGAGAAGTAAGCAATACAAATTCAACTAGCATGCTAAATTTTAAGACAAACCACCATATACATACTGGTTTCTATTGACGAACAAAAACCTTTATGTCTCTATTCAAACACATTATAAAAACAGTTATTCAGTTCAACCAGCAAACAACCAAACTCAAGCTTCCTCCAAACTGCTGTTGTAAGTTTGATGATTGGGTCAAGGCAGCTTGGTCACAAAACTTAACTACTTCTTGGAACAGTTCGTGAAATAAGAAATTCAACCCCATGAATTTCACAAATGACCATAGGAGCATGGTAACTGGCAGAAATATATGTGATATAAATATGAACACATACTTGTATATAAATAAACATTGGGTGCTTCATGAAAAGGGTTTGAAAAAGAGGTGGTTTAAAGATTACTGTATGCGGCATACTTTTCAGCATAGTGCAGCAGGTACAAATAAACCAGCTTCTTTACTTCCAGTGACTGAGACGCCACATTTTTGACAACCTGCTAGCCCCACAAAGAAACACAGACACGTCCATATCAGTAACCAATTCTCAAAGAAAGATTGAAGCTTAGATTTGGATTGAGTGATTTGGAGAGAAAAGAAAAGAAATAGAAAGAAATGTATTTTTCTTCTTTGTTTGGTTATCTTAAGTGGAGAGAAATGGAGAGAAATAGAGAGAAACTCATTTCTCTCATACCCCTTATTTTCAATCTTCCCAAAAGTGGAGAGATTGGGAGAGAAAAGAAATCCACAAATGTTTATATTTTCACAATACCAATTTTGCCCCTATAAAAATAAAAGAAATAAAATGATTGAAAATATAAAAAGGTTATTTTGGTAATATAACATAAAATAGTTTCTTTTCTTTTCTCTTAATGAAATCTAACCAAACAAGAAGGAGAGAAATCACAATCATTTCTTTTCTTTTATTTCTTACTTATCCAAACAATTACTGTATGCGGCATACTTTTCAGCATAGTGCAGCAGGTACAAATAAACCAGCTTCTTTACTTCCAGTGACTGAGACGCCACATTTTTAACAACCTGCTAGCCCCACAAAGAAACACAGACACGTCCATATCAGTAACATATTCTCAAAGAAAGATTCAAGCTTAGATCATCAGTTAATGATGTGTTATTTGATGTAATATATTGTTTTAAGGCTTTAAATAACAGAATCATTAGGCTCACCGACAGTGTTATCCATTTTCATTCCTGTACATTAATATATACCGAAACAATAGTATCAAATTTTACACTCTCCTAATGATACAAGTTCAAATTTTACTAATCGGTTGAACTAGTGGTCTCTGTTTGATCGCAGATCAATTCTCTGAGAAAATAAGAAACTGAATTCTCATAATTGAATTGATACAAAATAGTCTGCTTATCGAACAAACACAATGGAGATATTAAACTGATTTTCTGTTTCTTTCATTTTCTCAGCAATCAAACAGGAAGAACAATGGTATATGACCTGGGGGAAGAAATTGGCAACGTCGAAGCCCTGGGCGATGAGAGCGAGCAATCGCTTGAGAGCTTCGCATTTTTCGGAGTCGAATTTGCTGTCGAGTAGAGGAGCAATGTTGACGTCTTCGGGATCGTCGTATAGGTGAGCGTCCGTACCGATCCGAAACACCATGGTCGATGCCTTGCTCAGTGACTCTGCAGTGGCGCCGAATTGTGGGAACATCTTATACTAGGGCTTCGAGCAACGGTTCTGCTCTGTATCACAATTCCGATCACGGAGAGAGAGGAGAGAGATTGTCTGCACTTGTTCCCGAAGACCGAAGCCAACGTGAGAAATAATTAGGGAAGTAGGAAAAAAAGAAAAAAAAGTTGCCTTTTTATTTTTTTTATTTTTTTTTTTAAATGACATGTAAAAAAAAATATTTTTTTTAATGTCCTGATATTAAGATTTTATAATATAAAGAATATTAAATATTTTCGTGAAGTCTAAGGTCCCTCAACATCAATACAGAGAAATTTCAGTCTCAGAGAAATTCTCTCCAAAGAAAATTGAACTTCTCTTCAGAGAAATTCTCTGGATTCAAACCAGAGAAAATTGAAATTTCTCTAAGTACAAAAGAAATCAAGAGAAAATTGTGAAGAGAAAATTTGTGTATCTATTTAGGAAAATTCTCTCACTGCACAAATTTCTCTGGCTCTTTACTAATTTTTCCATGGCATTTATAGTGCAAAATGTCAAAACTCATCATCTCATCTTTTTAATTACTGACATCTATAAAATACATCAAACGTTTGATAGCAATGGAAAAATTTAACAAGTTCAATGACATCTCCATTGAAGTACCCAACTGCTATAACATAATTATGACAGTTCAAAACAACAATTCTATTGAACCCAATGCATCAAGATCTAAAATAACTATTGTCCTGTATAGTTTGAATACAAAAAAGTCTTCTACTTTGATTAATACTTTTGAAGCACTTAATTATCAGTTAAAATCGGTCAAAATGAACCCAGAGAAATTTGAGAAATTCTTGGGGCCTCCGCTCATGAGTTGTTGCCTTTGCTTAGCCTTCTCTTGCACAGTCAAGGACTGATCGGACTCAATCGCTCGAATCGCCGCGATCAGATCCCCAGTGGATTCAAATCCAGCGGCCGGCTTGTCGATGAGATTAGGATCGGCAATGATGGAGCAATTGGGACACTCACACTGGACAGTATCGGCTAAGGTTTGAGGGAGAGTGAAGAGACAAGTGACGTGCCAAGGTGTGACGCATGTCTTACAGGTGAATCCGAAGGGAGTGGTGTTGTGGAGAGTGAAAATGAGGTCTGAGCTGGGCTGCTGCGGGGCGAGGATTTGCTGGGGGATCTCTCATCTCTGCTGCTTTGCGTCTGTAATTCGAATCCTCAGACGATCGTTTGTCTCCAAGCCACGGCGGCAGAGTCCGGGAAGTCACCGGAGTTTCGTCGGATCTCCGATGTTTCAGCATCCCGACTTGAATTGACGGGGAAGATTATACATGAAGACCCTGAGCGGCGACGCCATTAACGGTGAAGGTGGAGCTCAATCGGCTGGAGAATGAAGTCAAGGGTGAGGAACAAGAGTTGATATAGACAGGTCTGAGAATGGAGAAGTTTAGAGAGAGAGAGAGAGATGAGTTTTGATTTGGTAAGGTCAAATTTCTCTGATATATGTTTAGGGATCTTAGATATCAAAAAATAATTTTGTGGATCTCTTCTATTACGAAAAGTGGGAGACGGACCCTAGACTAATGACCTGACTTAAATAAACTAATAATAAGTTAGTTTTTTTTTTTTTTTGGGTCAGAATAAACCTTAATAGGGTGTAGAAATGGTCCACTCGAGCTCAACAAGGCCTAAGCCTTGCCCGATCTAAAACTTTAGGCTTAGATCTAAGGCTTTGTTTGTCATTCTCTGAAAAAGTCAAAAAGTCACTATCATATTTAAATCACATTATCTTATTTAAGTCACATCACCTCTCTACTACATCACTTCAAACTCAATCCATACTCAATCCATATTTCATAAAAAGTCAAAAAATATACTTATTTAGAACATCTCAAACAACCCCGAAGATTGTTGAAACAATTAGTGTTGAATTCTTCAGTTGGTGGTCTTTGGATCTTCAAAACTTGGCCGTGATCTTATCTATGTAGAACAGAGATTTGGTGCTTCAAGTCGCGTTACTTAGTCGCTTTCGTAAAGACAATATTTGCATTCACCAAAAGGTGTGCAGGAGGTTACAGTAAATTCGCCTCCACGGCACAATGAAGCCAGATCTAAGGATCAAGTCTATCGATGTTTGCACTAACAACAGTAGATCAGAATACACTTGATATAATCAAAAAAACTAAGACACTGATAAGCAAGTCTGTAGAATTTGATTATCAGTAAGAAATATAAAAACTTTGCTTAAGAAACTCTTGATCGAAAACTCTAATCAAGAGTGAGAGAAAACGATAATTGTATGAATGCTTTAAGGATTTTGGAATAATTAAAATGACTAAATTCACTGCCTATTTATAGACCTTGATGCACATAATTGAATGTTCATGTCTTTTGTCTTTTGATCACATCTAATCAGATTTGATTGTTGGATTGGCGATCTATGGTGAAGATCAACCTCACACCGAATAGATGCCTTGACTGATCACACCTGATCATAATTGGGTGCCATCTCAATCGTATGATCGCGCTCACCTCCAATCAACGGCTATGATCTATAGCGATTCTAGTTTTGACCCGACCATTGTTGTATTTTGGACTCGGGTTTCATGGTTTTGTATTGTTGTCCATATCTTGTTTCCCTTATATTTTCTTAAAATTTGACTATTGGGTTATTGTGGTTGCGTTTGGGTCAAGTTGGTTGCTTAGTTTTAAAACTTTTGTTGCCCAATATTTTACTCCTTCGCTCGAACGGCGCTTTGTGTGCTCAAGCGGGTTTTGTGAATTCTCAGTACTTTTGCAGGTCTGCAAAATTACTGGAAGAGTGTATTCTACGCTCAACTCGAGCCGTCCTTCTTGCGCTCGAGCATTGGTCTGCTGTCTGCAAAACTACTGGGAGTATGCATTCTGCGCTCGAGCTTCACTTCCTGCGCTCGAGTGGAATAACTTATAGTGTCTGACGCTCGAACGTCAACTCTTGCACTCTAGCACACTCTGCGTATATCAGTTCGTAACAGTCACTTTTTGCATCACTTTCATTTCTTTCTCTCTCTAAAATATTTCAAAACCCTAGATCTTGAGCTTCTCTCTCTAGAACTCACATTCTCTCTACATTTTAACCTAGATTCGTTGGTTTCTCTACTTTAGTGTCTTTGGGAAAAAGGTAAAGCATCTCAAGGACTCTATTTTGATCCGAACAAAAGTCTGTTTCGGCATCTTTGAAGTTTTCTCCTTGCTTTTCTCGTCCTCTAACTTTGAGGTAGGGACATTCTACACTCTCCTATGATTTTTAACTTAGTTATTTGTTGATTATGTAAATAATGTTGGGATTGGAGGATTTTAGACAAACTCAGGATTTTGATTTAAAATTTAAAGAGGAGTTTTCAAATGAAGGTATTAAAAATGATTGTGGGTGTAGATGAGGATGTATTGTGTTAAATTTGTTGATTTTAACACATGGGTTGGATTTGGAATGAAATGAAGTTTTACTCTAAAATGTTTCAAGTAATTATTTTGTATAAATAATGAAATTGGTATTAGGATTGTGAAATTAGATGAATGTTTATATAAATGGTAGAGTTGGATATGTATTATCTCTCACCTATAAAAATTTGGATAATTTATCTGTCTTGGAGATTGTATATCTGTCTAGAAATATTTATTTTGGACTATCGGTGGAGGATAACTATGTCTGTTGTAGTAATTGCATGAGGATTTGCTAAACTAAAACTAATCTCTTATTTGTTGTCATTGAATATGACTGTGTTTTGGCCTATGTGTCCAAGGTGAAAGTCCTAAAAACTGCACGTATACATGGATGCCAATCCCACGGATGAAATTTTTGTAAAATGGCAAATTTGAAATGCTAGTGTAATGATTGTATGGTTAAAGAACTATTAAGTTATAGCCTCAGTTGGGTTATCTGGATAACAATGGACTTGACTCATGGATTGAGGTGAAATGAATTGTCATGAAATGAATTAAGATAAAATGGCTTGAAATATGAAACTTGGCATATTATGATCAGGTAAGAATACGAATGATCTTATTATGGGCATTATATATGCATATCATATTTATATCTTTATTAAGATTCATATATTATGCTAGATTCAAGGTTTTAAAAAGCAGCCGCAACCATTACATAACACCATTATATAACAATTGTGGTGGTTACAGCCACCCCGTTACGGCCGCTTTTGCAGTGTGATTCAGATTCACAGGTGTGTCGGTCGTAGCGGTCATAACGGTGCCGTAACGATCGTAACGGCTTGTTACGTAACGGTTGTGAACTGCTTCTTTAAAAAAAAACACAAAAAAAAAAGCTGAGAATAGAAGAAGAGGGATAAAGAGGGAAGATGGAGGAGAAAGAGAGAGAGAAGAGGGAAGATGAAGAACATGTTATTGATTTGTTGAAGCTGTAAGACCTATGTTATTCTATTAGCTGCTATCACTCAACCATTTTCTTTGTGTGTCTATCTATATATTGTTTGATAATAATAATAATAATAATAATAGGTGTGATCATTATCTATTTGGCTTGATTAAAAAATATATATATATATATATATTTAGGCTCTTACTTATTTTCTTACTTTTGTTATTGTTTATCTTATATATAATTGTTAGTGATTGATTTTTTATATAATATAAAGTCATTAATTATTAAAATAAAATGTAAAAAATTCAGTTTATAGTGATTTAAAAATATGAAATATATTGGATCCTATTTAAAAATTTACAAAAATTGATCAATATTTATTTTTAAATCCAATAAATATGATCATGGAAAAAAATTATGCGTATTAGTAAGTTTTTTTCAAATTGTGCGAAAAATAAAAAAATTCACGATTCTGGTTACCGTAACCGTTACGCTACGGTCTTTATACCTCGCAACCGCAACCGTACCACCGCCACTGCTACAGCGACTGCAACCACTTTTCAGAACCTTGGCTAGATTGTTTCTACTTGATTTTGGCTCACCCTGCTTGGAAAAAACATTTTCAGGTGCTGGTGATATGCTTTCGCCAAGGACTTAGCTTGGGTGGATTGTGGAGCTAAAGGCTCACTTTTGTTTACTTTGTTTTCATTTTTTGTACAAGCCTAGGAATTTGTTTGAATTGAGCTTATGTCTCATTTTTGTTGTAACCAAGCACGACC